TGTTAAAAAGCATGGGCGACAAAATAGAGCCTTGCGGGACCCCACAGGTCAAAGGCCAGAGATCCGAGCAGGCATCTCCCAGCTTCACCATCTGAGTTTGTCCCTCCAGGAAGGACCGGAGCCACGACAAAACCGTGCCCCCAAGGCCCATCCCAGAGAGACAACCCAGAAGGATACCATGATCGATGGTATCGAAAGCCGCTGAGATGTCCAAGAGAACCAGCAGAGTCACACTCCCCCTGTCCAGCTCTCTGCGGAGGTCATCCACCAAGGCGACCAAGGCTGTCTCAGTGCCATGACCAGGCCTGAAACCAGACTGTGACTGATCTAGGTAGTTGGTATCGTCTAGGAAACTCTGGAGCTGGGAGACGACCACCCGCTCCAGCACCTTGCCCAAAAAGGGGAGGTTAGAGATCGGTCTGTAATTATTCAGTACCGTGGAGTCAAGGGAAGCTTTTTTGAGGAGTGGACGAACCACAGCCTGCTTCAAGTTAGATGGAAAAATTCCTTGCTCCAACGATGCATTGATAATCGGTACAAACCAGTCAAGCAACCCCCCTCTGGCGGATTTAATGAGCCAAGATGGGCATGGGTCAAGAGATGAGGTGGTCGCTCTCACAGCCCCAAGAATCCCCTCCACGGTTTCAGGAAGAACAAGCCTAAAAGAATCCCACAAGATTGGACAAGCAGATGCCTCCGTCACCACAAGGTTGGACAAGCAGATGCCTCCGTCACCTCTTCTGGCACTGCGATGGAATTGGAGTCTAGCTCAAGACGTATCTGGGCGACTTTACCTGCAAAATGGTGTGCGAAATCGCGACACCGAGCTGCAGGGTCTTCAGCGATCTCCTCCGCCACAGGTGGGTGGAGGAGTTCTCCCACGACCCGGAACAGCTCCGACGATCTATTTGCTGCAGATGCTATACGAGTGGTCGTGAATGATTTCCTGGCCACCCGTATAGCCACGGAGTATGCCTTAAGAGAGGCTTTAGCCCGTGCTCGATCAGATACATCTCGAGATTTCCTCCATTTGCGCTCTAGCCCCCTTCTCGTATGCTTCATCACAGCCAACTCCTCGGTAAACCAAGGAGACGGCCTGTTATGACGCAACGAGACGGGGCGTTCGGGAGCGATCGTGTCTATCGCCCTGGACATCTCCCCATTATAGAGAGTTACCAAGGCGTCGATAGGATCGCCAGGCTCCAGGACAGGAGGAACCCCAAGATTCCTCAGGAATCCATCCGGATCCATCAGTCTCCTGGGGCGGACCATTTTAATTTGTCCTCCACCCCTGCGGAGGTTAGGGTCGCAGCAAGTCTAAAAGTGATCAGATGATGGTCAGACCATGACACTGGAAGGATGTTTTGATCTTCCACTCTGATCATTTCGTTGTCCGCCACAAAGACAAGGTCGAGAGTATGTCCAGCTTGATGAGTGGGGCCAGATATTATCTGTGACAGTCCTATGGTCGCCATGGTGGCCATAAAGTCCTGAGCTGCGCCTGATAATGTGGTCTCAGCGTGGATGTTAAAATCTCCCAGCACCACCAGGCGCTGGGAGATCAAGGCCGAATTAGAGACCACCTCCGCTAGCTCAGACAGGGAAGCTACTGGGTCACGGGGTGGGCGGTACACCAGCAGGAACCCCACACTGTCACGGCTCCCCACCTTCAAGTGGACACATTCGAACCCGGAAGCCTGCGGAACAACGCATCTGGTCACGGCGATGGATTGCCGAAAGATTACTGCGACCCCTCCTCCCCGCCCCCCTTGTCTGGCCTGTTGATGCACTCCAAAACCTGGTGGACACAGCTGGGAAAGGTTTACACCCCCCAGCTCGTCCAACCAGGTCTCGGTAATGCATGCCAGATCTGCCCTCTCATCCAGGATCAAGTCCTGGATGGCTGCGGTCTTACCATTAACAGATCTGGCATTAATCAAGAGGACCTTAAGACCAAGGGGGCTGCCAAGGAGCCTACCACTCTCCACCTTTCCCAGGGTCGCAAGGACTCTACTGCGCTTCTCCCTAGGATATTTGTAACCCGCAAATCTTCTCCCCCACACGACTCGAATAGCACCCCCCTCCTCCGGAACCTTCCCCCCCCCCACATGGCCAAGGTCTAGTCAGCTCTCAGAGGAGGAAGTCGGGCTGGGAAATAATCTCCCCTGGGCGTTTGGTAGGGGTGATTCTGATGTTGAGGTAGATAACGAGACATCAAGGGAGCTAAGTGGGCTGAATAGAGGGAGCGTTCTCGAGCGGAGAAGTGTGGCTGGCTGCGTGGATGCGGCCGGGGCAGATGGGGTCTCAAAGTGATACAAACCAGGAGGGGGGGCCCTAACTGGGGAGCTAGTTGTGGGGGCCAGATGGAGCATGGCAGATGGAGCATGGCGAAAATAAACCCCGGAGTCAAACAATGGGGCTGTTTTTAGTGTGAGGGTCCACAACTACCTTTCTAATGCGTTTATGTGCACCACACATTTCTTTAGATCCTTGGTATGTTTTAGCAATTTAAGATCACTCAGCCAAGTGCTGTCTTCTGGTGAAATTTGAAGACGGGTGGAGCGGTCAGAAGATTGATAATCCCTCCACAACCACACTATGGCTTTTAGTCTTATATCCTGTGATCTTTTCCCCAGAATTTGGGCCAAGGAATTACAAACTGCCCTCTTGGAGGTCCATCTGCCTCTGTTCACCATTAGGTCCGCAATGTCCACCGCAAAATTGTCCGTGAGGAGATGTTGATCCTGAGTGCAAGGTGCGGTGGGCTGATCCACAGGGCCAGATGTTGTATTGTTGGTCATCCTCTGGGCAGCCAGCACAGTCCGCTGCCACTCCCAGATGTTTCCATTCCTATATATGCCCAAAGGTTCTCCCTTTCCATCAGATGACTCCTCATTAGACCCTCCCCCCTCCCTCCTTCCGCCTTAAGTTCCGCATGATCTACTGTGCCTTAAGTTCCGCATGATCTACTGTGCCTTTCTTTTTTGTCCCACCCTGATAATTCCACAGATATATAAACCCATTTTCCTAGTTCCAACAGACCTCACTACCTCTGAGGATGCTTGCCATAGATGCATGCGAAACGTCAGGAGAGAATGCCTCTAGAACATGGCCATATAGCCCGAAAAAACCTACAACAACCCAGTGATTCCGGCCATGGAAGCCTTCGACAATACAATAAAAAAAGACATGTGCTATTGTGAATTTTTGGGCACTACGGCTATCCATGCAACTTTTTCTTGGGAAATAGTATATATCTCTTTTATTTCCTAATTAGCGGAAGCATTTTTGTGTGTTGGTGTGTGAGAATGGTAGCTCCCATACGGATCCAGTAGCCAGAAGATTAGAAAATCATAGCAAAATGGTTTTCCTATCTGGTACGGATGCATTTTGACCTAATGTGAAGCATGTGCTGAGTGCTTTTTATATTGTTCTCATGTCCAATTCATTATGGGTACTGAAAACAGCAGAGCTTAACCTACAAAATTATGTAGACCTACCCTACCTTTCTATGCTCACTTCAGCTCACACAGTGTCCCTTCGAAATATGGGAAATCTTTATGCCCCGCTCTATACTAGTTAACACGCAGTCTTATGGGGCTGTCTTGGCCAATTTATCACATTCTCCTCTCTGGTTCCCAGCCAGCGTCTCACTAGATCACAATAAGTCCTTCTATTATATGTAGGTTTATGTACTCACCTTGACTTTAGATGTCATCTTTCCTTCTTTCTTTGTCCCCTAACAGCCATTGTTAAAACTGAACGAGTCACCTCATCACCATACTCACAAGTTTTGCATTTCTGTGGCTATTCACACATACTGTTTTCCTATGAAGGCCTGTTCTTAGGCACTTTACTCCATACATATGAGAAAGCAGTCTACTTTTTTTCTTTCAGTTAATCTTTAAGATCCCTTTGTATAAACGAGTTATTTTTGTGTTCTGTAAATGAAATCTGTTCAGTTTGAGCTTGCTTGTCCTCTGCCAGGAATAATTAGTGATGTAGAGTATAAATGCAAATTAGATCATTTTCATTTTCACTTCATCTCACATTGCAGCTGTCAGCAGCACCTCTCACATGGAGACAGAAACTTGGTGTAAACCTATGTCTTTGCAGTTTCTTGAGTGATAGCATCTTGTATCTGTTTGTTCCCAGTATAGTAGCTAGCTTTGATAACATAATTCAATTGCTTTTTGAATATATTGCAAATATATTAATTATTTACTTATTTGAAATATTTATATTCTGCCCTTCTCACCCGAAAGAGGACTCAGGGCGGAGCACAGCATATATATGGCATGCATTCCATGCTGGAACATAAAATAACTATAAATATACACAAACACTAAAATCAGTTACATTTACTTTAAAATCAGTTGTTTAAAACCATCTCAAACAACATGCTGACTCTGGTTAGTGTAGTGGGTTTTCTATTATTGCCTTATTGCACTGTCCCAAAGGCTTGGTCCCACAGCTAGGTTTTTACTACCTTTCTGAACGACAGGATGGAGGGGGCTGATAGGGAGTTCAGCCCCCTACCAGGAAGGGAGTTCCATAGCTGGGGGGCAATCACTGAGAAGGACCTCTCTTTCTCTCTCATCCCCATGAGAGCCTGTCATGGTGGCAGGACCAAGAGCAGGGCCTCCCCAGAAGATCTTAGTCGTGGTTCATAAAGGGAGATGCATTTGGACAGAATGTTCTACTAGAAGAACATAGAACATAGAATGTTCTACTAGAAGGGGCATTTAAACTGAGCACAATAAAGTCACAATCTTATTGATTTAAATCCATGCTTGAATACTTAATGGAACAAAACCTGCTGCAAATGTATCTTGGTATTTTGGGAACCCTGAGGTGCCAGTTACCAATTTGTACTATGGGTTTTAAAGTAATGTTATCATTCCACCCTGCAATAATCTATGTGCAGTTATATTAGTGATGGCAAAAATACATGGAAGGGGAAAAATGATAAATGACTTTACTGGGTTTTTTAATTTCAGGTACTTCGAGCACATATATTGCCATTGACTAATGTTGCCTTCAACAAATCTGGTTCTTGGTAAGTTTTGGTATTAAAAATCAAAGTGCATTTTCTCAATATAAAATAATTATTTTCTTTTTCTTCATATTTTATTTATATCTCACTTGTCTTCTCATCTAGAATCCACAGCACTTTATAACGCAAATTGAATTGTTATAATTTTCCCACCTTTATCTCTTGACTGAGATGCAAAGCAGTTTACAGCACTAAGAAAGAACAATGCAATTTGAAAGCAAATTACAGATAAAAATCATTATAATAAAAAGTAAATAAATAAACTACCCTATTAAAACAGCACAACTTTAAAACAGTTTAGATATATTTAAGACATACTGAATATACTCATCTATAAGCTGATCACATATAAGTCAAGGGCAGGTTTGGGGGATGGGGGTTAAGTTCCTAATGTTGATATGACCTGTGGATAAACTGATAGATAAACCCATAGATAAATTCCACAGAGAGGGGAAAATGCCAGCCACTCCTGGCCTCCACTGCCACCATTTTCATGTCCAGGCATTCAAAAAAGCCTTTTTGCCAGTGGTGTTATTAGGAGGTACAGACTGCATCGAGTAACACTATTAGAGGGGGTGACACCAAACTGCTGCAACCTTCAGAATCCTCCAACCTATGTGGGAGAACCCAGGGGAGAGGAGCACACTGCCAGAGCCTAAAGAAGGAGGTGCAATAGGAATGCAAGTGCAGGGCCTTTCTGACCAAGGAAGACAAGGCAGCAGTGACCCCACTGACAGATGAGAGGTGGCTTGCTTACTCATAAGTAAACCACCCATTCCCTGCTCTGAGAAGCCCAGTAGGAAATGCACAGCACAGGGATTGTGGTACAAGTTAGTCACACTTCCAAGTGTCTGGTAAGTTTTTCCTCAGGGAGCTCTGATGAGGGAAAAGATAAGGGGTGGGAAGGGATGACTGCTTATACAAGGCTCCTGTAAAAAAACAAAACAAAAAAAACAGATGTCCCGTGAGATCTCCTGGCTGTTAGCACACTTTCTGTCCTTTTAGCAAAACAGCTGGGAAAGAAAGGGAAATCCTTTCCCAAATAGAAGTATTTTTAATTCTTTCCGGGTTTGATACATGTGGGGTTGCTCCATAATTGCGGATGCTTGCAGAACACCTGCTCTGCTATAGACCCGCCAATGGCCAGGCAGAAGACAAGAGCAGAAGTGTCTGGGATGTCTGCCTTTTACAGGGGAATTAAGCAGAGTCATTCTCCCTCTTCTCTTACCCTTGTCTGGGATCCTTGATGAAGAACTAGGAGGGTACTGGACTTGTGATTAACCCTCTTCCTCCAAAGGTGGCAGTGGGTGGCTGCTTGCAAAACGCTTTGGGAGTATTTTTGAATTTCAGTTATTAGAGACTCAATCTGTATTTTAATGTTGACTTCCTTCTATTGTAAGTGAAAAACTCTACAACAATATCATTTCCATCAGTGGTTCTCAACCTTTGTTCCTCCAGGTTTTTTGGACCTCAACTCCCAGAAATCCAGCTAGCTTGCCAGCTGTTAAGAATTCTGGGAGCTGAATTCCAAAACACTCAGAGGACCAAAGGTAGAGAACCATTCACTTACATCATTGCGAGCTCTCATCACAGTCAGAAACTAGATTTAGACTCTAAACCTGTATCTATTCTGATTTGTAGATTCAAATAGTTCAGACTTATAGGTTCAGGCTGCAGTCCAGTTTCTACTTGCATGAGAGTAATGTCTTAGTAGATGTTTACAGATTATAATCTTAGTGACAGTTTGGAATAATAGAAATGCATTAACATTTCTATTATTCCAAACTGTAATGAGATGCTGAGGATCCATGTTTTTATTGGTTTTTTATTGATTCTTTGGTTTTATATTTATACTAAATGTTTTAAATTGTGATTTATGTTGTTGGGGGCATCGAATTGTGCCATTGTGTAAACCGCCTTGAGTTGCCTTCGGGCTGAGAAAGGCGGTATATAAATATGATAAATAAATAAATAAATAAATAAATAAATAAATAAATGAAATATTGAAGTTCCCTATAAGCAGTATGTAATATAATATTTAACTCCTTGATATTTAGGGAATTTTAAGTAGTATGATTTCATTTCTTCTTAAGGAATTTTACTTTGTAGAAAGAACAATTGATTTCAATGAGCTAGATATTAAATCAAGAGATAAGAAACATGTCCCTTAAAATTACCTCCTGCTTTGTCCATTTTAGTTTCATCACCGGAAGTTATGACAGAACATGCAAAGTGTGGGACACAGCATCAGGAGAAGAGTTACGTTCTCTGGAAGGACATAGGAATGTGGTATATGCAATTGCTTTCAATAATCCCTATGGGTATGCAACTTTTCAGAATTAGTTTCTTTATTATAAAAATGTAAAATGTCTTAAAATGTAAAATGTGTTGTTGATCTTAGTCCCAAATTGTTGTCTTGAAAAGATCTTGATCTTTGATAATGCAAATTATTTCTTCCTTTTTTCCCAACAAGCCCCACTTTGTTTTTCTCTTCTGTTGTATTTTATGGGAATAAATTTCTATTGTATCTCTTTTAATGGAAATAATTGTTCTCCTGATACAAGCAATAGATCTTTTTTCACTTTAGTGACAAGATTGCTACAGGATCTTTTGACAAGACCTGCAAATTATGGAGTGTGGACACAGGAAAATGTTATTATACCTTTAGAGGACACACTGCAGAAATAGTGAGTATAGGACCTTTGACAAACATTATAATTCCATATATGGAGCTACTTTATATTTCCAAAACTAGTTTAAAATGGAATATCTTTTTTCTGGTATTCTTTCAGTTCTGTTAATGGGAACATGTTATTTTCAATAAATGCAGATAAATAATGTGTACTCAGTTAACTGTGAATAATTTAAGAAAAACATTTTAAATGTTAATCAGTTGCAACTGTGCACTAACTGCTAACGGTTTCTTTTTTTGCATGATTCTCTGAATTGTTCAGATGAACAATTGATTTTATTGGTCTATAAAAAATAAAAGATCAGTTATCATGAAATCAGTAATATTATTCCTGGTATATATTTGTATGATTGTACTGTCACCCAAATTAAAATGTCAGTGCAATTACTGGATGATGCTACTTTGACTTGAGTAGACACCTCTGAAATATCTGTTTAGCAGATAGTCTGAATAAGAAGATATTCCTCTTTATGATTTCTCTCCCTCCCTTCTTTGTAAAATTCAGTAGGATATAACATGTATCATGTCATATAAACTACTGCCCCTGTCCATGTCATTAGTAGCCAATGCAGTGAGGCAAGAGTGGGAAATTAGATATTAGATATTACAAAGAAGAGAATGTGAAGAAACATATTTTTCCTACTTGGAACTTGTTACTTGGAACATCAAGTTAAAGCAGGATTGGGCAATGCTGGTGTGTCCTCATGGGACCTATTTGTCCTCATGGGACCTATTTTGTCCTCATGGGACCTATTAGAGGCTGTAGGCCTCCTGTGTGCAATGCCATTGAAATTCAGCAGCATGCCTGCATCTGAATTTTAGTGATGCTGTTTTGGGGGGCTAAGGGACTGCATGCAGGTTATGTGTTGTCCATGATTGAATCTGACTTTCAATCATACAGCCAAATGTAAAGATTCCCATAAATTCATTTCAAGTAGAGTTATGGTGAGCATCTCTTGAATGTGTCTTTTTGGTCACTTGTTATGAGGCATCACATAAATACTTTTTTCCCATTTCCAAATTAAAGAATAAACTGGGGGGAAAAGCCTTGCAAGACACCTTCCTCTTTTTGGCAGAACAAATCCTGGAGTTTAAGCACTTTTACTGATCCACATTATCTCGTCATTTGTGGGCAATGTCATCAGTGCCTGCAAAATTAGATAAAACTTCTGGTTTGTGGTGGAGTTGGTTTATCTTTTTCTGCCAGCCTAGGTATGGGAGTACAGAAGTGAAGAAAAGACATCTCCACATAATCCTAGCCTTTTCTGCCAGTCTAGGCCTGGAAGTATAGAAGTGAACAGAAGGCATCTCTACATGCTCTCCTGTGTCATCACATGAGATTCTGAACTTTAGCTTCAGTTTCACTGTGAACCAACAATCTTGGAACTAGCAAAGAAACCCAGGTTTATGTGTTCCTTTCAATATGGTAGCTCTTCATTAAATCTTACTGCCAGTTTGGTCTGTATGGTTGAACCAATCCTGCCCTTGGGTTTCCATAGTTGTAACCAAAGAGCTGATTTTCATAACTACAAAGAAAAGGTAGAGAACATGATGAAATATTCAGGTACTGAGAGGTGAATACTGTTGCCCCTTTTCATATGTCCCTCATCTCAGGTCTGGGAAAATACTCAAAACAATTTAGTGACAAACATGTCTCATTGTGGAGAGTTGTGATCCTGTAGTTGGCATGTTTGATTTTATTGGTCTATAAACAGTCCACAGGCATTAAACAGATATAGCTATTGTCATTATGCTATGCATACTACCAAAAAAGAAGGGGAAATAGGAAAGCCAAGGATTTGTGTGAAACTCTTTTTTATCTTTTTTTTATCTAACAGGTCTGCTTGTCCTTTAACCTTCAAAGCACCTTGGTTGCTACTGGAAGTATGGATACTACAGCTAAATTGTGGGACATACAGAATGGAGAAGAAGTAGTCAGATTAACAGTGCGTTGCAGCTCTTTATAGTTCTGGTGGTGATCTGTTATTTTACTAGCTTTTAGTTGAAAGAACATTTCTTAATTATAAGTTGCAAAAGTCAGAGGCAAGAATTTCTCTAGATCTCTTAGCAACTGTAGTTAAATAATATATTAAACCTGCATAAAGGAAGACTAAAAATGTGATACTTAATGCAAGGCAAGAAAGCTTATATACAGAAAAATCTTACGCATATCAATTTGGAAATACATCCTATTCTTTTTAGCAGAATCTAGCTGCATTTAAGTATGAATAGAATGTAAACTAACATTTTTGGAACATTTTCTTGGGAGAAATTCATTGACACAGTGGGATTGAGTGAGATATATGTATATATAAAGATGTACATAATAACACTACCATTAACCACGTGCCCTGCTTTTCCGCATTCACTACCATTACCATTGCCTTTACCATAAATTAGAATGTATTGCTTCATTAAACAAAATGTGTTTACAATGAGCTGTGACTCTCCTAACTCAAAGATATTATATAATTTCTTTAAAATGTTTTGTCACCGGAGTTTGTAAATGCAGGTTTTCACAGTAATCCCATAAAGTAGGTTAGTCTGTTTCATAGCAACATGTTTTGTGTCAGATGCATAAATAAGTAACCAGTGTTAGCTAGATTCCCGTTACTTTATGTCCACATCACACCTTTTATTTTCTGTGTTCTTTCCATTGTTTGTCTCATATATATTCAGTTTGGTTTGATAGGCTATAGCAATAATGGAGATTCTTTGACCCTTCAGAGGTCTTGACCTACAACTCCTTTCAAACTTATCCAGTACGAACAATGATAGGGGACTATGGGAATTGTAGTTCAAAATATTTAACAGGCCAAAGGTTCATCATCTCCTAAAATAGAATAAGATTAAATAACTATAAGGACCATATATATATTTTCCTCTCAACCCCCCAATTCCCTGATTTCTTTGATGACTACATCTCCCTAATCACCTAAAAATTGTTCCTTCATAATGTGTATAAAAATTGTATATACTATTACGTTTGCATAAATATCTTTGTTACAACTTTAAAATCCCTTTTTCAAATTTAGGGGCATTCTGCAGAGATTATTGCATTGTCCTTTAACACTACAGGAGATAGGGTCATTACAGGTTCCTTTGACCACACAGTTGCTGTATGGGATGTTGACACGGGCAGGTACTGTTTGATGTCTTGTTTTATTTTATGCTTACAAGAAATCTTTCACACACACATTTTTAGATTCTGAATCTGCTTTGCTTTGCTCACATGGATGATACAATTTAGGAAACAAAAAGCTTATTGAATCCAGAAAGATGAATTCCTCTGTGCTTCTCCCTAGCAACAGATCTGTGTGCTCCCTGCCAGAGAACTAAGATAACATTTCTCCATGTTGAATTATGCAGAGCACCCAAGTTAAACAATGGAAAATATGTATTGCAATAATAATCCTTCACTACACCTGCATTAATTTCTCTGATTACTTTATTTACATGCTGCCTTAATCTACACTTGAGGCAGTTTCTAATATGTGTTTGCCCAGAATAGTGATAGTAGATGAGCTTTCTTTTACTGATCTGGCTCTGGTTGCCAGCACTAATTACCAGCTGCTTTCTGAGATTTTGGAAGACATTTACCCTAGCTTTTGAGGCAAATGATGACAACAACCCCCCAAATTTTATAGGATTTTGCCAGGGTAGTTAAAGTGGAATTGTAATAGTGCATGGTTTCATTCTGTGGAATCCTTGGATCTGTGGGTTTTTTCTTGTGTGCCTTCAAATCATTTCACATTTATGGCAAACCTAAGATGAGGTTTTGTTGGCAGAACTTACTCAGAGTCATTTTGCTGCTGTTGTCCTCTGGATCTGAGGGTATGACATTGAGTCGTTGCAGTTAAAATGGTGTTGAATTGCAGTAATTCTTCAGTATAAATACACCCCATGGCAGTTTCCTCCTAGAAAGAAGCAATGCTATTGGCTGGCATAGCCCATTCCATAGAGCATGGCTCTTAACATCTAGCAAGCCAATCATTCAGGAAGCAATTGATGTACAGAGCTGGTTGCTGGCAGTAGTGAAGGAGCTTCACCCACTGTCACTTTTACCTATTGCTTCTTAGTTGTTATCAATTTTCATTCTGTTTAAATTCATATTGTGTGATAATGTCTATTAAGACTGTCAAAATCTTTTGGTTAATGTCTATTTGGTATTAAGTTTATAGTACTGGCTGTTCTATTTTCTTTGATGTGTCTTGTTTTGATGTAATTTGTTACATGTCTCTTTATTGGCATTGAATGCTCGCTATATGTGTTGGAAACCACCCTGAGTCCCTTCAGGGAGATAGGACGGTCTACAAATAAATTATTATTATTATTATTATTATTATTATTATTATTATTATTATATTGATTTAAGAATCATCTGCAATGTCTCTGGTGGCAGCAGTGCATCTTGCTGTAGAGGTTTGCTGACAGTTTTTGGTAGTAAACCAAACCAGACAGAAAACATACTACTTGATTTTGGAGGAAGATCCTTGAGTTTATTGGGGTTTAGAGGTTACAAAAAAGGGGCTGGGTGCCTGCCACAAGGAACTCACGGACCAATTTGGCCACTCTTGAGCCATATAGACGTGTCTGTGTGTCTTTATGCACATGCATGTTGACTTCCATGCTGATTGGTATAAGGATTAGTTTTATTTAAAACTCAGTGTTTTATAACTTTTGTATTCCAAATGGGACATTGACAGCTTTTAGAAGTTAAATACTAATCCAGGTTTAATCATTTGAAGAAGTTATTATTCTAGGTTCACTGAGTTATTTGTTCTATTAGTAAAAACAGGAACAGATACGTGAAGTGTTTCATTAGAATACAGCATGTTCCTTGATGTGGCTATAATGATTATGTTTATTTGTCATAAGCCTCTCAGAAGGGGGCTCCAATGTAGCCCTTAGTACTTTCAGAAACCCAAGCCCCAGTGTTTTGTGGAAAATAATTTCAATAATCACTTTTCTCAGTGAACAATTTCCGTTAGTTGTTTTGTCTCAATGGTGCTGTTTTAGACCCTGCTTCTGTCAACAAGAAATGTACTGGAAAGTGCCAGAAAGTGATTTTTTCTGGTTCCCTTGATGCTGTCAGATCTCCCTCCTAAATGTCAGCTATGGAGTAGTGGGTGCTAAATCATTTATTAGACAGAGATAATTGGACATAGACTATCAAGAGCACTAAGAGAACATTGTTCCTTCCAGGCACTGGGTTTATCATGCCTTACTTGTAAAAATATAATGCCCTTTTTTGCATGGTTAAATGCCTTGATATGTAGGAAGCTTTTCTCTTTGGCAAGGTGTAATGTTCTCTACTGTATTAGATGGCAGATAAAATAAAACCACACTGAATAATAGATGTTACCCCTGTAACACCATTGAAGTGAAATTTATCTTGCATGTTTTCTTCCATTGCTGTAAGAAAAGATGTAATATATCTCATTATACAGCTTTTCCCAGGTTGTTCTCTTCAAATTCTTTTGATTATTTTGTTTCAAGGCTCTGGTGAGTCAGCCCCTGAATGAATAGCTCAATCAATTATGATGACTTGATTTTCATTATATCTAATGCACATTTCCCCAAATATTGGTTGTAGATTTATTAATGTGTTTGTTTACCAAAATGCATGATTAATGCAATGGCCAAGATCGTATATTGAGCAGGCAGAAGGTAGACATCAGCATTTTAATGGTAGAAAATGTTGGTATGTTCTTGGAAAATAGAAAGTATGATTGAGACCTTAGACATTTTCATCTAGGTTTTGGGATTTGAAGTTTGCAAATGGAGGCCAGGTTTTAATATCAAGCCTGTAAGCCTATGCTCTTTTATTGGGAAAGAAGCCCCATTAAATTATGATACGTATCACACTATCAGTGAATGAGGAAGAATTTCTTTCATTTATATATATTTGTATAATACATACATATCCTTGCTTGAAAGCAAATATGTAATTTTGATTCTCTTATGTGGCAGGAGGATACATACGTTAATAGGGCATCGTGCAGAAATAAGTAGCGCACAGTTCAATTGGGACTGTACCCTGATAATCACTGGCTCAATGGACAAAACATGCATGGTAAGAAAGGTGGTTCCTTTTAACATGGTGTTGGATCTGGACTTTATAGTTAGAATTTTATTAAATATTTATGCAGTTTTAAGATGAATGTACAATATGACAACTTTTTGGATTCAGGTTTACATTTATTAATGACCAGTCATGACTCACCAAACCTCCTAGCCCAAGCATCACCCCAGTCTAGGCATTGGACATTAGGATGCTGGGAAATGACAGTGCAGTACTCTCCCAGATGGGGGAACATGTCGAGAAAAGCAGCAGCACCTTGAGGAGTCCTTCCAGTTTCCTATCATAGTGTACCCCATTACTAGGGGACTGCTACAGTTGTTACTTCCCAGTCCCTTGATCTGCAATCCCTCAGATATCCTTTGGGATGTGTCTGGCTTTAGATATAGATTTTGTGGAGGTAGAATTGATAAAGGTAGCTATGACAACAGAACTCTGTCATTACAGCTATGTATGCTGATGTAGGATCTTACCCCAGGTTTTGCAAACAGAAGGCTTTTTTCTGGTCCAAAAGGTGTTTGATTTATGGGATGGGTCATGATGGATGATGGGGTAGAGGCTAAGGTCAATTCCGTAGCACTTTGCAACTGCTTTTGTCCTGTGAAAAACTACGGGGTTTCTGGAGTAGCTTGTGGGAAGATATGAGTGGGTGAATTGGGTCAGACAATTATTATTATTATTATTATTATTATTATTATTAACTATTATTATTAACAATTAGCAGATACTTCCTGCCCCCTCATTTTACTGGGGTGAAATGTCCTGACAGAAATTATTCCATGTTGCTGCTGCTGCTGCTGGAGATGCATTTTGTATCCAACCCTTAGTATATTCCTCCTTGTAGTATGTGACAAATACACTTCTTTAAAAAAACCACAGTATGTATTTTGTAGGCTTCCCAGGAATGCTTTACTCCTTTGCCACCAGTAGAGATAGGTAAAGAGATTAGTGTGTAGGATTATTGTGGCATTACTTTTCAAGGATAAAAAAATATCCTGCATGAAATTGAATAATACACAGGTTTAACTGCCATTACTAAGTGCATACAAGTGAGATATGCAACATAAAGTATGATAATGGCAATCAGACTGTAACAAAAAGACAATTCCTTTCCTCATTGCTTCCCGCTACCTCTTTTTCCTAATTTGCAGCCAACATTCCACAGCTGATTTTTGTAGAATTTTTGTGGAGTATTTTGCCTGTTTAGATTTTAAAAGGATTTTGCAGGTATTTTAAAAAAAAATCTTGGGGTTCCCCTGTGCACAATAATCCCTCCCTTTTCTCTCTTTCAATAGCCTCAGTTACAATGATGCTCAGACTTACTGACACACCCTGCACTCATTATAAGTAGGAGGAATAGACATCAGAAGATTAAAAAGAATATTTCCTCCTTCAGGAGCACTTGGCAACCTGCCAGAGTAAACTCCATTGCACTTCCATAATGAGAGAGCAAATGCATTGATTTTTTCAAGTTACTGAATCCCTCTGAGGAAGGAAACTCAGTTTCTGAAATACGTCACGGCTTAATAAATGTAAGCACTTCTGAAAACTTCTTCTCCCCAGGTGGATTGTAGTACAGCTTTTCAGTTGCTTAAAAACAGCCCAAAAGTAACATGTAGCCCAACCTGACCTGGGGGATAAATCACTGGTAAATACTGACATATGGAGAGTTATCCATAACCAGATGGCTCTATGTAAGAGCCACCAGAATGAACATGAATTCTGCTAGATATCTCACTTGCATCAATACTATGTCATGCAAAATAAATGTTGTGCTGCTCTTCTGAATCAACAAATGATGGTTGACCGGATACAAATGCATTAAATGATTCAAATAAACAAAGGCTCCTTTTGATCACCTATTATTTGCCTGCATTTTCAATTAATACTTTTTTTTAATGCTTTGTTCCACTGCAGCTGTGGAATGCCCTCTCTGGCAAACGGGTGGCAACTTTAAGTGGGCATGATGATGAAGTGTTAGATGTTTGTTTTGATTATACTGGCCAGCGTATTGCAACTGCTTCAGCTGATGGTAGGTGAATTCATTAACTGATCAAAATTAAGTGTATTTGTGGAAGAATAAAAGAGCTCTTTCACTGCCCTATATTACCAGCCTGTCAGCAATGGAAGAACAATAGTGATTCCCAGCTGTTTCTGATTAAATTTATTGGTACTCAATCCAAAGTAAGTGGGTGTAGGATTGCAGCCAGTCATTCCAGCTGTGTATACTAGGGATACCTGTGCTAACTGAATTTCCTCTTTTTCTTGAAAGGGTCAGCAAGAGTTTATGATGCAGAAACAAAAAAATGTATTGCAAAACTTGAAGGTCATGGAGGGGAGATTTCAAAGGTACCTTTTATACTGATTCATTTTTCTGTGCTGCTCTCCTGTAAAAAAAAATAAATGGAGTTTTAAATTCCAGTGAAAACAAGCTAAGGTTCCACTAGTTTTTACATTGATCTTGAGTAGTTTTGTTTGTTTCTAAGAGAGGTGGGTAAGAAATAATAATAATAATAATAATAGCAGTAGCAGCAGCAAATAAATAATGATTGCTTGATGTTTGAACATAGACACAATATCCCACTCACCTTTGCTTTTACTTACAGAGTATAGCTCCCTTGTGTCATTAGTAAGGTAGGAGAGTACAATAATTGTTAGTTAATTTAAGCTTAGTATTAAGAAAGAATACATTTAATCACTGAGATTTTTACAGCAGTAATCAATTAGAAGTGTTTTTTTTATATATGTATTTCAAATAATAAAGAAATTAGCATTTTCCTACCATCCTGTCTTGAATGATGCACCTCAGCTATTGATGATGCAAAGAAGATGGCATCCAGTGTTGTATACTAATGCAATTTGCAGTGGTCATTCCATTGATTGTTCTAGGTCATGGGTGGAAACAGCATTTATAATAGTCCACTGACCCTGGGCACACAATAAGCTGTTTTTATAAGGGATTACTGAGAACTTCCTTAGGGAAGTATGTAAGTAGAAAGTGCAATTGCTGGCAGAGCCTGAAGGTATGCCAACATAATATCCCCACAGACTTCTATTACCTTTAATCGTTTTGTAAAAGGCAATTTTTGCAGTTTTTCCCCTCCTCCTCATGTGCACCTTGTGAAGTAATAAACTGCTGCTGCCTGAAGCTCCTCTTTCCAAAGCTGTTAAAAGTACAGACACATCCTTTCAATCTTGATATAACAATTTTTTATATACTGATCACTATGATTCTTCCTCCTCCTGTTTTGCTAAGTTTTAGGTATCATGAATTTGTTAGATGTGGTCTACTAGCTATGTTCACATGTTTGTTTACAAAGTTGCTAAGAGAATCACACACACTTTGGATAGTGCATTCAATACTTGTTCATTAAAAGAATTTTAGACATTCCCTTAGAGCTAGAAAAAGTTAATGTGTTGAACTACAACCCTTTAATCATTTAGCCAGCATGATTTCTTTAGTCCAAGGAAAACTCACTTTAAGCAAAGGGAAAATGAAGATACTTGTTATTTTTTAAAACCTTTTTTGCTTATATCGGAAATTGTGATGTTGTCCTGTTAGTGACTTAGGACTTTGTCACACTAGAACATCTATTCACTTTAAGTCCAGTTGCTGCCTCCTGCAGAATTCTTAGGTTTGTACATTAAATGAGGTCCAGAATCTCTCTGGTTGAACAGTTTAAAGGCTTCTCCCTAAATTACAAACCCCAGAATTCTGCAGGAAGATAGATGCTCTGGTGTGATGGAGTCCTTATGCAGGGATAAGTCCAATATGTATCTGTAGAAGCCATTTTATTAGTCATTGTGGAGCTATCTACCAACCACACACAAGGTCAAAATCCCTATCAATTTTTATCTGGTGCAACTCCCTTTGTTAAAAAAGAGAAGCAGAGAAGCATACAGCTATGTACTTGTGGCTGGATATGCAGAATTGACATCATCTTCCAGGAGCTCAGGAGGACCTTTGGGAGGTGCTGGAGGAGGCCTTATTGCCATGTGACTAGCTATACAAATGTAGATAGATGAACCTCTGGTGCTACCCCATGCTACCATGCTACCCAGTAGCAGAAATGTAGCAGCCACAAGCTAGGTTTTAAGTTAGGGTTAAAAGAGAAGATGTATTGTGGTTCCATCTGACCTTTATGATGTATGTATGCCATTTTGTCTTCATCCACGCTCATGACTCATCAAATTATCTGTGATGTCCAAACAGAAGAACATCTGAACATCTGAGGTCTAGAAGCCACTAGATTTGCTACCCATGCTTGCCATGAGTCCCCCCCCCCCCAATTTTATTGTTTCTCAATTCTGGGGCCTGGGAATTTAAGGGACACCATATTTGTTTTTCCAAGGGGAAAACATTGAAGATGGAGTAAATACCAAATCAAAACTGTGGCAGCCAGTATTAAATAGCCACAAGTACCTTACGTGCTGAATCTGTAGATAAAAGCAGTTAGCTATCCTCTGAAAGACACCACTGGAAGAAAAGTGACAAAAGTGTATGCTGGGTTGGTAAAGTATCTGGACTTAAGATATGCAAGGCAAATAAAGTTATGTACTAGCATAGCAAGCAATTAAGACTAAAATTAGAAAGAGCGAAGGCAAAATAGAGTTATAACAGCAAAGCATCATGCCTTCGGAAGCAAAATTATGACAACTTCTGGCCAGTGTGTGTAATCTCTTGAGTAGTTAACCATGGAATGTTATACAGGAGATAAAATGCCATCTGTGTTCATCAGTGACAAGAGTAATACAGAGGTCTAGAAGACTGAAAATGGTCAGTGGGTACTGGAAATTGAGATGGGAAAAGAGAAGAAGGGATGAGACACATACGTATCTCACACAAAACCAGACACTTCGCCCTCAGTAGTGCAGCATAAGAAACAGAGCAACTGGAAATTTAAAACCTGAATTGGAGCAGGGGACAATTCTAGAAAAAAAATCATCTTGCCAGAACAATTTTGGAGTAAAACAAGGCAGGCAAGAATTAGAAATACTTCCCTTCCCCCTGAAGATGAGCAGTGAACTTATATGTAGAACAACTCAGTTCGGTTTAGCATACAAAGGAACAAGAGCAAAATATTTATATAAAAGACTTGCAAGAGTTGCCACTCTCCTAGACACCCCCCCCCCCCAATTTTATTGTACTACAATGTAGAAGTGAAATTGATTGGCTTGGTATTACTAACTGATGCATATAAGATACTCAGCACTGTGAAAGTGCAAAGTATTTTTATGGCATAGAAATTAAGTAAGCAATACCAAACTGACATTGGTAGGTTGCATACATGTAATTCTCTGGATATGGGGGAGGAGCAATCCCTGCAATCTTGGATTTTCTCTGCATGCCAGCTGGCCAGGCAGGAGTCCAAATTATTTTTCAATTTGGAAAAGTCAGGATGGGATAAATACATTTGCAAAATATGATGTGCATAAACTTCTCAGACAGATGGAAAGGATGTTCTCGAATCCATAGTTCAGGAGTCAAGACACACATGTGCTGATTTGTGACTTGTGTTGACAACTTGGTATATAGGAATACATCTCAATTTTCCGAGAGTATAATAGGTTTAACAACTTGTATCTGTGTAATTAAATTTAACAGCTCAGTGGTATTTTATATATAGTCCTTAAAACTAAAATTTAAAAGTTTATGGTGTGAACTGTGGTTGTCATTTACCTAAAGATGTTTGATAAGTTACTTTTTTATTCTTGGGAGTGGATTCTAAAATACAAAGTACAGCAAACAGCATATTTTGCAAAAGGCACATATTTGTCATTTAAACCCAATTTATTCATAAGCATCACACATGTTTTTGTATTTAAATAATTGCTCAATTCCACAAAATAATGCATGACAAAGTTTCTGTTCTGAGAGAGTTAGTGAGTCAGGAACCCCTAGCTAGCTGTGGGAAGGATTATTCTTTTTCAACCCACTTCATTGTCTGAATCAGCACTTGAATTTATTCACAAATCAAAGGCCAAAAGGAATTCAGATGCTGTTGTTTCAGGTTAGCTGAAGGTGTAACTGTGCAAATGTGAATCATGGTAGATAGAATATTAGTGTTGGTAATTACTTACTTTTTAAAAATATAATTTTTATCTTTGTTTTAAAGATCTGCTTCAATCCTCAAGGCAGTCGTATTCTTACAGCCAGTTCCGATAAGACAGCTCGACTTTGGGACCCACAGACCGGGCAATGCATTCAAATACTAGAAGGTCATAATGATGAGATATTTTCATGCGCTTTCAACTACAAGGGCAATATAATTATTACAGGTAACTAGCATCTTGTCCAGAAATGGTCACAATTACATTTCATTCAGATCTTAAACCAGTAGTGGTGAATAGAGCTAAAGCAATGTGGAAAAATGTGGGGCTCCTAATGACGGGTGCCCTCTTTTATAGCCATATTACATAATTAATTTTGCTGTTTCATCTATGTGCTGTTTCATCTATGGCTTTGTTGGAGTTTCCAAACTAGTTGGTTCAGATCTGCATCATGGTTTACATCAAACTGCAATAAGTCAGTGGGAGTTCCTTATAGAACAGTATAGCCATTGAACTATGGGCCTTCTTCATGACAGGTGGATGGATTAAAGGAATTTATACACTGTGTGGGTGGATACATTAAAACAGTCTTCAGATTCTAACAACCACTTACACTTTCATGCTAGATGCAAGTATGTTAATGGTGAAGGCCATTTTGCTCCTGAATATCCCCCCAAAGCTCCAGGGGCTGTGGAGGCAATTTTTGTCTTGTTTTAAAATTCCACAGGCTAGAGGTCATTTTTAGTTTTTTTAAAAGGTCTTTCCTGTACTTGGCTGGGAAAGAGTGAGTTGTGGCAAAAAATACCTTCTGTGCCTCCTAGGGGCATTTGATGATATTTTAGAGCAAAACAGTTGCATCTTGAATTCAACCCTAGAACTAGGCTGAACAAAGCCGAGGCTGCATGCAGGACTGTTCTCACAGCTTTCAGGGAAGCCACATTCAAGATAGTGCTTTCCAATACACTTTAAAACTTAGAGGGTTATCATGTGGTGGTCTGCAACTCACCAGCACTTCTTGATACAATCTACCCTACTAATGTATAATTCAAGAAAATTGAGTTAAGGAATCAACCCAAAAATCTGTGTTGATTTATCCATAATGTGACTTATCCTTGTCTTGAGTAGAGTGGCAAAAGGCAAGACTTTAGTCCATCTCTGGAGAAGATAAAAGAAGCACTGCCCCCCCCCTTCTCTATTACATGGCTTCTGGGCTTTTTGAATGCCTGTGTGGGAAAATGGTAGTGGTGTCCAGGGGTGGGTGGCCTCCAGACGAGCCATTTGTGCTTTCCTCCCTCTGCAGAATGATCCTTGGCTTCAGGGTCATATTAAAATCCACAATTTTGGCTCCACATGAATCTATATAGTAGAGTTATCCTTCTTCCCTATCATGGCTTTTAAAGAGTTGCATTAAAAGCTGAAAGCAACGAGGTATGGAGGGGCATCTTTTGATTAGCTGCCTGTTGAGTTACTGAACTGGCTATTTTGAAACCAGACCACCAGTACAACTAAAATGATACTTCTTTCTCTATATCAAAATATTCTCCCAGAAATCAGGATGGGGGTCACTGCCAGCTGTTTTGTCCAACATTCTTTATACTAAAAATATTATGACTTGAACTTGAATAATCCTGTATACAAAGCATTCTTCCAAAACCTCATTTTTTTTTCTTTTAGGTAGCAAAGATAATACATGTAGGATATGGCGCTGAGGATGCCGGACTGAATGTCCTAATGACTTTCATATGGTGAATTTTATAGACAATAACCACTATGACCTTTAAAAACCCTTTTTGTGTGTCTTCTTCTCACTTTTAGCCTTAATGAAATAGATCTGTTTCCTGAACTCATGAGTTGAATAGTGTCAGCTGGTTCTATATTGGCTTTAAATGTGTTAAATAATTAAGTTGCAGGAAGTTATAGGCCAGTAGTGGTAGAGATGGGGTCGGTAGTGCTAGAGATGGGGATATTCATCATGATCTAAACTATTACATGGATGCTTCTCTCATGCTTAGTCGAATATACTTAATGTGTTTAATCTTTGGTTAATAAACTATTTGAAATGCTATTATAGTGTAACTATTCATGTAGAATTAATTAGATACTACATACTGGGAAGCAATATAATCAACAGGAACTAGTAAATCTCAGAAATGTGTTGCTTGTTACATTCATGTTATATGTTGTTGCAAGTCATACGCTGAGTTTTTCATTCTCACCAGATCATTTCTAGAGCAAGTACTGGACCTGTAATATTGCAATGGAAAATCGATGCAAATCTCTCTCCTCTACCTTCAGTATGAACTGAACTCTCTGTATGAAAGCCCAATTTCATAGAAGCCTGGTTTATGTCATTTTCTCTTGCTAACCTTTAGGGGAAGAGTCAGAAGAATCAGGCCCCTTCAGGAACTGAAGGAGAGTACTTAGGGAAAAAGCAAACCGGAAACCATCTTAATTGTAGAACAATTTATGCTTCTATCATCTATCATGTTGCCCTAGATGCATGAACCATGCTTCCTATTTGTTCACTTAATTCTTTTACCATGGCATTGTTGCTATTTTTCTCCAATCTTGGTCTCTTCCAAGGACTAAAATGATTGCCTCAGCTTTTATGTATACCAGCCAGATGCTGATTTTGGTGCCGGTATGAAAACTTGAGTTCCAAATCTTTTGAATTCTACATTCCTTACGCCACCAGTATAATCTTGTTTTCTGTATTCCCCTGAAAATGCCAAGCCAATCAGAAGGCAATGTATCCTGACTTCCCTGTTCAGCATTACTCTGTAGATCTTCTGGTATTATTTATGCTTGAGGTATTATTTATGATTGTGAAAGGGTCGATATGAGATGTGCCACAGAGCAAGGTACAATACCTTTTAAGACCTGGAAAGTGAAGGTTTACTTTGTTCTAGTGCACTTATTCTAAAAAGAACAACTGCTACTGAAAAATATTTATTTATAAGAAAGGAACTAACAAAGTGTAAAAAAAAACTTCTGCTTTGGATTGTGTAGCCAAACCTGCATTGTGTCTGAGAATCTACACCACTGTCTATAGAGTTTTCATAATCTTGGTTCCCTTCTTAAGGCAAAAGAGGATGTGGGTTAGTCCCAATTATAGAACAAATTTGCAGAGCTAATGAAGAATAACATGACTTGATATTTGTATGCAAAATTATTTGTTTATACATTTTTACTTCAACACTGCCTTTTAATTCTTAAACTCTTTCATTTTAGAATAGTTCATTAGTGAGGAGATAAAGTATATTTCAGAGGTTGGGGATAATTCCATCCAGATATTTTCTTCTTTGGAGAAGTGTTGAAAAGTCGATAAATGACTGACCAATCCAGACACTGCACCTTTTGTTGCAGTGAACTAACACATTTTAAGTAGTGGTCTTCCATAGATACCCCTTCCCTAGTGCATTTCAATTTTTTGGGATATATTTCTGCATTACAGGTTAACCCTCAGTTTTTAGGAGCTGCACATGCTTAATCACATTTGAAAAATAAGCCCTCAGGATACGTTATTTCACTTCTTAAAATGGACATATCTCTGTACACTTTTTGGGGGCGGGGGGAAAACCCTGTTTTGTTTGATTTGGGATACAGGATTATTTCTTTATTTACAACATTTATATTCTTCCCTTCTCACCCCAAAGGGGACTCAGGGCAGATCACAGAACACATACACAGCAAACATTAAACAGATAGGACAGACAACAGATAAAGGTATTATGTTGGCGTTTTTTTTGCCCAACTTCGGTGTCCTGGAGGTTGTGCTCATTTCCAGCTACAGGGAGGTGCTGTTGCTCCATCCTCTATGACGAGCCTTGATCATAGACTTCCTTCTTCCTTTGATCACCGGTATTTTTCTGGTATTTCCTTTATGGTGCTGCAAAATACCTCCCCTCTTAAGTGGTGCCTAATTTCTCTACTCACAGCTCACTGCTGTTTTTCAACTGCTTAGGTGGACCATAAGCTGAGCTGAAGGTTGGGTGCTCACCCTAACCCAGGCTTCAAGCTGGCAACCTTTCGATTGGTAAGATCTATTGCTGCTGGTGATTAACCAGCTTTGCTAAAGCCCAGATCTCCCTTCCTCCCTCTCCTTCTTTCCTTCCTTTTTGTTAAACAGTTCAATTGCAGTGTTTTATTCTTTCTGTATCAGAGTTGGACTTAAGAGAAGCAAAGATGACACGGATTGTTAACACAAATTTATTTCAGATCAGGTTGCAATATGAAGAAGAAACGTACAGAATGGAATTTCATCACATTTTAACATGTCACTATGTTATTTGTGCTTGTAAACGTTTATTCTACCATCACTGAAAGTCAGTACAATTTTTTTTACTAACCTGCATTGATCTAAAAATAAATAATTTTTCTAGCAATATACTTTTCAATTTTTTACTGTTGAGAGGTACTTAGTGAACAGAAGCCTGGACTGGCTTTTAAGACAGTGACATTTCTTCAGAGGAGACCTATGTGTTGTTCAGCCTGAGCTAGGACCAGGAATAAACTAGATGTTTTATTAGTAATAGTGACCTGTACTGTAGAATATTCAGAAAAGTTGCCTCAACACTTAAAAATAGATTTAAATCCTGGAAAATGTCTTCTTTGAATTATGAGAACATACAGACATGCACTTTTAAGAGGAACAATTAGATAAATATGGCTCTTTATAATTTATTTAAAATTATTTCGAAATAGTGCAAAAACATTTGGGACATATTGCAGAATCATATAGTTTTGTAATGAAAATAAAATATGTCTTCCATATTTTTGCAGAAAGATAACAAGCAATATCACTATATGACCAAAAATACAGTTTTGCTTTTTTTTAAAAAATGATAAAATATATGCAATTCTCAACAGTGTGGAATAGCTGCAGATTATATTTGGAAAGGATATTGGCATTCTGCAGTGAAGATATTGAATAACTAATGAACTGAAACATTTTGACTTGAAATTTAAACCAGATATGTTGGCTAGTGTTAAAGAAGGTTTACATATAGTATGAAAATTACTCATTAATTGAAGTGCTGGGGTTGCATGCTGACAAATTGATTGGTTTTTTTAAAAAGTAAAATATATGTATTGTATTCCAAATATTTAAATACAAAATGGAAAATCAGATGTAAATAAATTAAGATTTTAAATTTTTTATATAAAAATTGTGTTATATTTCTGAGATTACAGTAGATATTTTGAGGTTGGCCTAAACAACTGATTTTCACTGAGAAGTCTAAATAAAATTTGAGTAGTTGGGTTCTTTTTAAAAGTATTCTGTTTATTTTAAGAACTTTACAAAGGACATGATTCAACATTACAAATGGGTAAAAGTGAAGTTTTGAAATACCAATACCTGCCCACAGTCTTACAACAAATTGCAAATAAAGCTCCACATGGGACTCAGATTTGTTAAAAAGCAGTCCTGTATTACATTCGCCAAACTACATAGCTTCCAATAGGAAGTAACAGCAACAGCAGCAGCAGCAACAACAAGATGAGTTTTAAAGACCTGTATGAAAATTCACCAACCTGAATTATATTTAGCAGTATAATATGCCTGCTGAATGATTACAGGCTTTAAAAAAAAGCTATTTCAATAGCTTGTAAATGTTGTTTGTGACCCAGTGCACAGAGCTTAGACTCTTCTTTCTGCTCTTCTGGAATAACGTGAAAACATAATTATATGGAATTCACTGAAACAGATCTCATACGTATACCGTTGGGTAACATTCTACAAACTTACACAAGAATAAGTGTAATTACAAATTGTGAGGTCTTTTTCTTTTCTTTTTTAAAATCTTGTTGCTGTGCAGTTCCAGTGTGAGTCAATACAAATGGCCAAGGAGACAGTCTATGATTATCAGAAATATAGGAAAGTCTGTCTCTTTCAACAAACCAACCTTCATTAAAGCGTTCATTTAAAAGGTATCCACATTCTTTCTTGCACTAATATATTTAAAAAAGTCTCCCATATGAACTAATGGTATACCCTGGACTTCCACTTTTCTCCTGTGCACAGCTTAATAACATCCTGGTGCATTGGCAGAGTTTGTGTATTTCTATTCACTTTCGGTGCTGATGTTTTGAACACAGGGCCATTCACAAAGCACTGCCACTTAAAATGGATTAAAAATTAACATGGGGAATATAACAAGATTTCTTATCCCAGCTCAAGAAGCCAATCAAAGAGACTTGGCGTCAGCTCTCTGCTTTCTTCGTGGAGTTTGCAGAACTGTACCACCGCATGAAAGATATCGCCCACTTTCCAGGATTTTTGGTGGACAAGCTGCACAACATCTAAAAACTGGAGGAAATGAATTATTTTTAGAGCTTTTATCTAATCTGTTCTCCCGCTTTTACTTTAATGACAGGAGCCAAAGAGTTCCAAATACGAGGGCTGATTTACCCACTGCTTGAACTGTTCATCACTTGTTGACTGTAGCATTGAGTAATGACTTGCAGGTGTGAATGAGCTGTCAGTGCTGCTTCCTGTCACATTTGGTGTATTATTTTTCACTGGAATTCTTCACTCATATTCAACGTTTGATCAAGCAAGAAGTAAATAAGTGATGAGAAATGTGAGTGTTGAATATGCATGTGTGAAAGAGTCCTGAGAGGAAAGCTCTGGTGAGGAATGAACCAACCTACGACCATACTAGTGGGTTGGTTCCACAAAGAGTGGGATGGATGCATATGCCAGCACTCTTCTGTCACCACAGAGTTGTTAAGGTCCATTCTCCTTTCTTGTGCTACAGCTTGCCTTAATCAGCAAAAACTCCTGACCCTCTGGTACATTTTTTGGAAAGTCGGGATTGTCATGGAAAGTCAAGGAAACTCCCCTCCACCCACCCACTGATACATAGATAAATCAGAACACAGAACAGAAAAAAACCACGCTTGCACAGGGCAACAAAATGCTATAGTGGAGCGGTCCAGTTCACTATCCCGGTTAGCTAGCCATGTCTTGCTCTACAATACTCTATTTGCCCTCCAATCCATTCCACCATTTCCCCATTGAACATTGTGTAGTCTCCAAGCTGCTTCAATTTTTAGATGGCATTTGTCCCTTAATTTTTTCTAATTGTAAGTATCCCCTAAGTCCAGTGTCTTAATTGTAAGGTTTCTGTGAATCTAGTGACTATCTTTTGTAAATGCAGAGCCCAAAACTGAACTGGGTAACTGCGACAAAAGAAATAACAAAAGATTGCAAAAGAGAACCTGGCCAGTTTTTCCTACACAACTTCAGCTAAACAGGGCAAAAAATGATTCATCTTCTCTACTCACTTTAATGCCCTAAAGGTATCCGATCCCATCTAACCTTGGAAGCTAAACAGCGTAATCTCTGGTTTGTACTTGGATGGGAGACTGCCAATGAAGAGCTGCTGCTGAAGGCTACATGTCATAAGAAGGAACTGAGAAAATCACCTTTGAATATTTCTTTCCTCAGTAAATCTTATGAAAATCATGGAATTCATGGAATTGCCAAAAGTTGATAGGTGATTTGAAGACACACAGCATCTTGCAAAATGTAGTATAGTGAAATAATGTGGAAACGTAACTTCAAATGACAACACAGCTACAGAGCTCACAGGGTGATTACAGGCCAGCTACTGCTTAATTTTCATGTTAGGGTTTGTTATTTGAAATGGGGTTGGGGATAAGAATCATGTACATCAGTGGTTCTCAACCTGTGGGTCCCCAGATGCGTTGGCCTTCAACTTCCAGAAATCATAACAGCTGGTAAACTGGCTGCAATTTCTGGGAGTTGTAGGCCAAAACACCTGAGGATCCATAGGTTGAGAACCATTGGCGTACATCTTTGTCTCTCTGCTTCAGGATGCAAAAAATAGGGGGTGGGGTGGGCAAGACATTAAGTCTTTGGGTTCATGTGTGGAAAATGGCCTGCTTTCAGCCTGGTGTGTCATGAACTCTATAGACATTCAAAGGAGTCGTATTTTATTCACACCCCTCTCTGGAGACGCTCTTGAGGAAAGTTGAGTTGTAAATCATAAAAAAGGTCGATCAGTCCTTGCTAGTAGAATATAAATATAAATACATGTTCCTTTTTCTGTTTTTCAGCTGCATTCAAATTGTGTATTATACAGAAAATTCTGCTTCCTTTATATTTTCAAGCAGCTGGGGAGAAATACACTGTCCACTTTTGTGCTGTTGTTTTCCTGAATTATATGAATAATCATGTTGCACAACGAAACTCAAATTCTTCTGGTTTAGAAATCATTTCCCCCTCTTTCTTGCCTTTCACAATCAATATCTAATCAGACTTCTCATTCTCCATGACTCCACTTTCAAATGCACAATGAAATATTCTGCCACAAAGCTGGCTGGACAATTTCTTATTTACATGTTGTCTTCTAAACTTAAACAAGTATTGTAAGGATGTAAAAAAAAATGGTTTCCAAGAGCAAGCTTATGGGCAGGATGTGTTTCATGACTCTCTGTTGTATTTTAGCAATTGGTGTAACTATTTACAGAGACATATGGCAAAGCTGACAGCTGTTTCTAAAATGGGAGGTAATTTGGGTAGTTGTTACTGAATGTGACTTAAATTATGTTTACAATGCTGAAATATTTTCCTGCAGAAAAAAACTAAACAGCACCCCAACTAATGATGGTTCAATATATTTTGTGGCTTTTTAAAAAGATTTAGGGTCCAGTTTTATGATATCCTTTTAAAAATATTTAGGGTCCAGTTTTATGATATCCTATCTTGATGCTCTAGTTTAAAGGTCCCAAATGAGACCCTGACAATAGTAAAGCATCAACATCTCCTATTCAATGCCAATATAACCTCCCTCCCTTTAGGCAACATTTCTATGTATTGCACCAATCAGTGGAAATCAGTGGTTTTCAACCTGTGGGTCCCTAGCTATCCTGTTGGAAACAAAAGGTTGCAAGGTCCCCATTTTCCCCTTCACAATTTGAAATATTAATGACCAACCTTATCTACACCCCAAGGTAACTTAAACCAGTTATCCCCTGCCCTACACTGTCTAGATATATTGGACTAAAGCTCCCACCATCCACAGCCAACACAAATAGGCTATTAACTTGCCTGTTGCCAAATCTCTCTCTCCTTCAGCTAGCTACTGTGGCTGGGAGTACTGCAGAGTTTTGAGTCTGTATTTGTGCAGTAGAAAACGATTCCCTCATCATGTTACTGTAACTCAAAAACAGCCAAACTCAAGTGGTCCAATGGTCAATTTTCCACCCTAGGATCCACCACAAGCCGCATCTCAAATAAAACCTAAAAAATTGCTTCTGTCTGCTATTATGTATTTCAAGGTGATTTCCCAATTTGGTAGGGTACTAACTCTGCATACTGTATGTGTTGTTTTATTTGTAAAGCACCTTCTTTGGGTGCATTTTTGGGCAGGAAGAAAAATAGCTGCAAGAAAGGCCAACACCTTGTTTTAAAATAGTGGTCCATGAACCCCCTTCCTCTTTATTATTTTACATTTTTTATTTTATTTTGGCTCCTTTCCGCAGAGCTGACCAGCCCTGCTCCTTTTGGTACTAATGTTGGAGAGTTGTCCCTGGTCAGAGTGGTCCCTGGTCAAAGTGGTCTCTGGTCTAATGGGCCCTGGTCAAAAAAAGGTTGGGAATTACTGTTTTAAAGGAAAATCGCTGCTCCCGGAGTCTTCGTAACCATAGCCCCAATGCTTCGCAATTAAATATTTGATCCTGTACTTTCATCCCATGCCCTGTTCCTTAGCTACAATCTGCATGGTTCTGAGTTTTCAAATGTTTATATGCTATAGTTTTATTTTATTGTATTGTACTGTGTGTTTATTTTATGTTTTGTTTTAGACACTTTGTGCCCCGAGTCCCTTTGGAGATGGAGGTGGGCAGGCCCGTAGCCAGGATTTTGATTCGGGGAGGGGGCTGAGTTTGATTCGGGGGGGGGGCTGAGTCTGAGTGAAAGAGGGTCTACCCTAGTAAACCTTTTGTATCGTTACCCCAATACCCCCATGCATATGAGATATATTGAGCATGGTGATCAGATCATGATATGAATAAACACAACAGTCTAAATAATGTACCAGTAAGGCCTTTTCGCAGACCATCATGAGAATTTGGGGGGGGGGGTGAAGCTTGGCTACATGCCTGGAAGTGGGGTACAAGACTAAAGTTGTTGTTATTCTAGGAGCAACAAAAATAAGGGGAGGAATGGTAGGATAAGGGCACTTTGGGATATCCAGGGGCCACAACAAAGTGGCATGCAGCCCATGTAAATCAAATCCCACATTACAAATTCATGTGAGAGTCTGTGAAATATGGTATGAATCCTGAATGTCCCCAGCAAGCTTTGGGCAACCTCTCTTGGCCTAAGCTATTTCACAGGCTTGTGAGGCTAAAATGGGACAATTCTCATATACACTGCCCTTAAACACCTTGGAAGAAGAGAGATAGATTAAAGAAAAAGAATGGCATATTGGTGGCCAAATCCAAAGAATATAGCGCTCATAACAACAACAACAACAACAACAACAACAACAACAACAACAACAACAACAGTAATTCCTTTAAATACAGCATCTACACTAAGGAAGCAAGTAACTACTATTTCCCTGGACATACCTTTTCAATTCTATTTTCCTGAGATTTCTTAAAATAGATGGTGGGAATCCCAAGCTCTGATGCCGCTATCCACTGAAGCGTGGCACGCAGTTCTGCGTCTGGGCACCCTGGTTCCAGGTCACAGTTTATCACCAAGAGATCCCTTTGCTCATTGGCAGCTCCCTCGCATAAAGCAGAAGTGCATTCTGAGAAAAGGTACATTATCAGTTTCATTCAATTAAGTCAAAAGCATACAAGCAAAGCAAACTCTCATTCCGAATTTGGTGGCAGAAGTCTTACCTTCTGCTTTTTCTGGCTCTTTTTTACGGAATGTCTTTTCTTCTACCAGTTCACTGAAGAAACAAAACAAGAAAGAAAGAGTTATAAGTCATTTTAGGACATAGACTGACACTGCCTTGTGAATGCTGAGATAGTTTGAAAGAGAAGCTTGAGATGCTATAGCGGCATCAGAACACAAAGAAGGACTTGTTTATAGCTCACAATGGAGAAAATGAGAGAAATTGTGTTAGTGGTTGCTCCCAGCCTCTGGAACTCCTTATCAAAAGTGGACAATTTACCCGGTTTCTAATGGCAGGCCAAAGCATTAGTATTTAGATAGCACTTTGACCTACAGTGTGATTTGATGTTATGTTGTACTTAGTTTTAACTCAGTGCTTTTATTTACCTTTTTTGTAGTACATATTTGTACTTTATTACATTTAATATGCTAGCATACAGTAAATAGGATAATAACAATGTCATTGCCTTCCTAGAGAGGTTGGACTGACACCCTTGCTGGAAAGCCTTTTGAAGGCAGGTGAAAACCTTTTTGTTTGACAAGTGTGAGGGCTAATATTTGCTGGGTGCCTTCAAGCCATATCCTGCTGTAGCAACACTACCATGGCACTTTCTTGGCAAGAGAGACTTTGCCTTCCTGTATGGCTGAAAGAATGTGACTTGCCTAAACCCATCCAGTGGGTTTCTATGGCTGAATGGGGATTTGAACTGCGGTTTAGAATCTTAGAGCCCCAGTGGCCCAGCAGGTTAAGCCCTTGAGCTGTTGAACTTGCTGACCGAAAGATCAGTGGTTCAAATCCGGGGAGCGGGGTGAGCTCCCGCTGTTAGCCCCAGCTTCCACCAACCTAGCAGTTCAAAAACATGCAAATGTGAGTAGGTGAATAGGTGCCACTCTGGCGGGAAGGTAAAGGCACTCCATGCAGTCATGCTGACCACATGACCTTGGAGGTGTCTACAGACAACGCTGGCTCTTCAGCTTAGAAATGGAGATGACTACCACCTCCCAGAGCTGGACACAACTAGACTTTACCTTTACTTTAGAGTCATAATCGAATACTCAAACCACTGCACTATGCTGGCTCAGGAGCTGACTGCTCAGGGGCAAAAGGCTAGTTTTAAAATTCTTTTAATTTTATTTATAGAATACATACTTTAACTTTTGTATCACACATATTTTTCTGGATCTGTTTTGACTATTTAAAGCCACCTTGGGCCCCAGTCTGCAGAAAAGGCAGAATATCTGAGGAGCCCCCAGCAGCACAATGGGTTAAACCATTGTGCCAGCAGGATTGAAGACTGATAGGGGAGAGTGCGGATGAGTTTCCTCTGTCAGCTCCAGCTCCCCATGCGGGGACGTGAGAGAAACTTCCCACAAGGATGGTAAAATATTTAAAAAAACTATCCAGGCATCCCCTATGCAATGTCTTTGTAGACGGCCAATTCTCTCCCACCAGAAGTGACTTGCAGTTTCTCAAGTTGTTCCTGACACCAAAAATAAATAAATAAATTGAAGGCCATTACATTATTAAAAGAAGAGAGGGTGTCTTTAAAGCTCACCCTAGAAGCCAGGCTATGCCATCAACATAGAGATACTCAAGCTGCTGGGAAGCGAAATGGCGAGTGAGTAAGCATTCACTCCTTGAAATGAGAAACTTTTTAATAAGCAATAGTGATGGGACTTTATATAGAGCTACCAAGGATTAATTCATTGAACTTCAGCATGCAGAGCAAGTAGCTGTGTCCCATCACTGCCACAAACTAAAGACCTTGCAGAAAGCACACTGTGGACTTTGAGACAAGTGAGAGGGGACTTATAACCAATGGGGAAGTTGCAAGTCTCCCAAAAATGCTAATATGGCTAATAAAAAAACCCACCAGTTCTATCCATCGCCCTGAGAAGGGTACTACTGCCAGAAGCAAAAGTCTACATATGGCCTATTGTTAAAAAATGATGGAAAACTACATTTTGAGAAAGGCCGCAGTCCAGGGTGGGAAGAAACAAAATTGTCCCGTATTACTACTTGTAAGTCATTTTCAGAATTGTGTTATTCTGGAGTGGAGTACAATAATGAAAAATAAATTAAAATAATTAAATAAGCAAGCTTCTAAATCAGGATTTGCCACTTACACAACAGAGAAATAATAGTTGTCACTGACATTAATGACTGAAAGTAGAGCATATACCATTGAATTCATACATTGGAGGGTGTGGGGTGAGGAGAACACAGAAAGACTCCATTTGCAGCAGTGTATTTGGTATATGATGTATGGCTGATAATCGTTTATGTCTGAGAACACATCATACAATGAATGTGGTGACAACCAGTTATTACCACTAAGGTGGTGATTATCCTTCCAGGAGCAACCTAACTGTAGGTCTTCACTTTCACTGGAAGGATTTCCAAGCTAGCTAAACCAGCAGCTAGAAAGCAGCAGCGCAAGCGATGAAAGCTTGGGAGGTTTTGGCACAATCTAGATGACAGCGATGATTTTCAGCAGAAATGGAATAGCATCTTCTGAGACCAGATGTTTCCTTTACAGCTACTTACTTAATTGTATGAGAAGATGGCATGTTTTCCTGATAAATTTCCAGATCCATAATGCCAAGACTGCTAGTGGTACTGCTGTTGCCATTGCTGACAATGCAAAAATTTTAAGTATTAATGCCAGGCGGCACCAGCATGCAACTGAACACATTGTTAAGCCAGCATTCAGCTCCTCTGAATGAGGGCACAGAGTTCTCATCCGCTCAACAAATCACTATCAGCAAAACAAAAGATGTGAAAGTACTTAGAAACATACATATGTTACACATTTAGTGAAGCTACTGAACTGACAGAGAAAGACCCAAATCTTAGGCTGTTGGCTTGATATGACAAAATGAACATTTTCTTTTAGTTCATGGTCTTACATAACATGAAATGCTATGCAAAGACTGTTTTGTACATGCAGACAGATCACTTGATGTCCCCTCATTTGACACAGGCAGCAAATGTCTGGACTGTTGTTTTGGAAGTGAGGTCAAAAGACATAAAATCTGGTAGAGTTTGATCTGTGATTAGTGTTTTTAAATTTATGCCAGCTATCACTTGATGTTGCTGTCATCAAGTGTTTGGCATGTATTTATTAAACTGACTCTCGGCCTTATCACATTGTACTGTACTCAGAACACTTCCAGAATTCCAGATACTTCTGACATTGTATGCAGGATGGGGGTAGGGATAAGGCAACATTTCTCAATCTGGGGGTGGGGACCCCTGGGGGGATTGTGAGGGGGTTTCAGAGGAGTCACCAAAGATCATCAGAAAACATATTTCTGATGGTCTTAGGAACCCCTTTGGTAGAGATGGCTGAAGATCTCTCTGCCTGTTCTCTTCCTTTTTGGAAACAGATGACAAATCCTCCCACCAAAAGCCCTCCTCCTGCTGTGATTGGCCAACCTTTCAGCAAAGGGGAGGGCTGTTTCTGAGACTCCCAAGTGGGGAGGGGAGAGCACATGTGCTCAGTGCATGGCAGCATGGTGCGCATGTGTGGGCAAGAGAGAGTGCGAGGCTGGAGGGAGGCTCGCACCAGCAAGTCTCTTCAAGACATGGGGGTTCTGTGTGGGAAGTTTGGCTCAATTTGATTGTTGGTGGAGTTCAGAATGTTTTTTGATTGTAGGTGAACTATAAATCCCAGCAACTACAACTCCCAAATGTCAAGGTCTATTTCCCCCAAACTCCACCAGTGTTCACATTCGGGCATATTGAGTATTTGTGACAAGTTGGGCCAGATCCATCATCGTTTGAGTCCACAGAGCTCTCTGGATGTAGGTGATGTACAATTCCAAAACTCAAGGTCAGTGTCCACTAAATCCTTTCCAATATTATCAAAGACCCCCCCCCACCCCCCCCCCAATATTCAAATGTAGGTGTATCAGTAATTCGTGCCAAATTTGGTACAGTGATTGAAAATGCATCCTGTATATCAGATATTTACAGTACGATTCATAATAGTAGCAAAATTACAGTTATGAAGTAGAAATTAAAATGATGTTATGGTTGGTGGTCACCATAACATGAGGAACTGTGTTTAGGGATCATGGCATTAAGAAGGTTGAGAACCACTGGGATAAAGCAAGAGGTTTCACTGCTTGTCTGTCTCCAGCAGAAAATGAAAATTTGTGTTGATGTTCAGTGTTTTCAAAAAGCACCTATGTACGAGTTCTTGGATCAAGTTGCATACAGTGGGATCTGAACTGTACTGTTTGGGCTGAAAGGAAAAAGCTTTTCAGTGAGGCTATTCTGTTTAGGTTGCAGTACAAATATAAATTTCAGCATTCAGAAAAGGTTCATAAGCAGCAGGATAAAAAAAAAAACCAAACAAACGTATAGAGAATTGGATTCTCCATGCCCCCCTCCTTTACAAATTGGGTGGAATTTAGCCACAATGAAGACATACAGGTATACAGTTCTCACTCTGTAATGCATCTGAAGAACTGTGAAAATTAAAATCAGTATTAAAGATGCTGCCACATTTATTTTCTCTCCCTTCCCACCTTCTTTATATTCTACGCCTTTGAAACATTATTGCTGTGAAACTTTGCTTTTGGGCAATGGTGCTCACAATGCTGAGTTAATTTTTTTTAAAAAACCCTAAAATTTCTCTACCAACCCATCCTTATCAATCAAAGGACTATTGAAGAACTATTACAATAGTCCTAAGATATAAATCACCCAAACAGATGCAATAAACACCTGTAAAATGGAATAGGAAAAAACTACTCTAATTAGTTTATTGGGTAGTGCTTGTGTTGTAGGAACAGGAATTGCTGAAGTCTGGACTGCAGTTTCTTTGCATGGTTTCCAAAGAACTAATGAGGCCTCTTGACGCATGGCAGGAAAGCCAGATCTCCTTTGGCTACTTTTTTTTATGACATTCATAGAAGAACAATCAAAGGTCAATCAAAACGCTTATGCAGATGATTATAGCCCTTTTAGCTGACAAGGCATGATGGTTACCTCATGGATCTCTCACTGAGCTGCAAAAAGCTGCTTGTATCATCCGGGTTCTCCTCCTCAGTTGCCAACTGACACCAGCTGCTACCTGTGCTTTCATCACTGCTGCTGAGAGGGACTGAGGACTCTTCTACTGCTCTGGCCTCCATGGAGGCTTCAGACTCAGGACATCTGCCCATGGTCAAGCTGATTCGGGAAAAAGAAGAATGAAAGGTGGAAGTGGAGGGAAAGACCTTCACGCATCTAAAAATGGGCAGGTTACACTGGACCATGCTCTGACTTACAAGAAGCACTGCTTGACTAACAAGCAAAAAGTGGGTGCTAGAAATAGTGTCATGCGATAGCTGACTGGCACAGCCTGGAGACCACAACCAGACACACTGAGGACATCTGCCCTTGCGCTTTGCTACTCTGGTGTTGAATATGCATGCCCAGTAATCCCACCACATTAAAAGATGGATGTGGCTCTTAAAGAGACATGGCACATTATCACCAGGATGTCTATGCCCACACCACTGTCTAGCTGGTATTTCACCACCTGACATCTGTCGGGAAGTAGCAGCCAATAATGAAAGGACCAAGACAGTGACATCTCCAGTCCATCCTCTGTTCAGATATCAGTCAGCATGCCAATGCCTTATATAAAGAAATAGTTTTCTAAGATCTACAGCAGGGCTCCCCAAACTAAGGTCCATGGGCCAGATGCAGCCCTCCAAGGTCATTTGCCTCTCCTTTAAATATTAGGCCAGTGGTTCTCATCCTGTGAGTCTCCAGATGTGTTGGCCTTCAACTCCCAGAAATTGCAATAGCTGGTAAAACCGACTGAGATCTCTGTGAGTTTGGGGACCCACAAGTTGAGAATCACTATGTTAGATTTAGGGTGGCCCTGTCTGAAATGACTTGAAGGCACACAACAGCAACAATTTTAATTAACTTGACTATCTCATCAGCCAAAAGCAGGCCCACACTTCCCATTGAAATACTGGTAAATTTAAAATTGTTCTTCATTTGAAATACTGTATTGTTCTTTGAAATAAGAAATGTGTACTGTGCATAGGAATTTGTCATGTTTTTTTCTAAACTATACCCCCCCCCCAAAAAAAATCTGAGGGACTGTGGACCAGCCCTCTGCTTAAAAAGTTTGAGGACCCCTGATCTACAGAGATATTCGCAGGAACACCTCAGCAAGCATGCAAGAGTCAGAAAGTGGCAGACTAAGACCCAGAACTTCAACCCATGGCTGGAACAGGATGAGAGACTCCCCCCTGGGCACATAGAAGACTGGGATACTTGGAAGGCACTGAACAGACTGCACTCTGGCACCACGAGATGCAGAGCCAATCTTAGGAAATGGGGCTACAAAGAATAGTCCACGACATGCGAGTGGGGAGAAGAGCAAACCACAGATCACTTACTACAATGCAACCTGAGCCCTGCCACATGTACAATGGGAGACCTCCTTACAGTGACACCAGAGGCACTCCAAATGGCCAGCTTCTGGTCAAAGGACATTTAGTATAATGCCAAGCTTTAAAACTTTGTGTTTTTAAATACATTATACATGTACCCTCAATTTGCTTCTGATACAATAAATAAAATGGACAGGTAATTGTGGTAAGTCTGCTCTGGGGATCATGTAGAGGTCAGCATAGCATCAACATCCATTCCCCAAGGGAAGGAAATTGAGGTTTGAAAAAATGCATATTCTGTGATGCTAAATTTTGGCAGGGGGTCCTGCAACTCATTTAAAAGATGACGGACATGCTGTTCCTGAAAGTTTACAGTGAACTGAAACTTTGGCTAGAAAAAAGGGACCTAGGGAGTTTCAGTAGCCACCAAACCAGCAATGGGAATCAGTGGTAGGCCCTTGGAGCTGGGATACCTTTTCCTGTCATTATATTGGTCCCATATGGAAGGCAAACAACCCTTCCCAAGTCTTCTAAACTTAAAAGAAATAACCTCCTTCTCACTAATAAGGAATATGTTCATCATGTTTCCTCTGTGGTATTTTAGGCCTAGGATAAGCCCTTTTGTAACCAGTGAGTTAGCTTTCAATTTTTCCTAAGGGGTGTAGGAGATGCTTTTCATGTTTGTTTCCCCACAAAGCTTTTTTTTTTCTCTTTACAATTGAGGGAAGTATTAAGGGCTTCTTGGGACCTCAAAATGGCTTTGGGATCCAAATGAAGCCTATGGGATCTATTCTGTCCATCTGAACTGTAAGGTTTGTTGGATTTAATTTTTTATTTTACTTGGGACCCCAAGTACAAAAACCAGGTACAAAAATAGACATACTATTGGAATTAAATGGCATATTTTGAGACCAAGAATTTGTTTCCAGTAACAGAACTGAAATTAGCTTACAGTCTATTTACACAAAAGTCTATTGTTCACCGCTGAAACCTTTTTTTCCATTTCAGCAGTCTAATATAGTTGGGAAAGTCCATTTTCTTTTTTCATTAAACAATCGGATATTGGAAATCCTTGTCAGTTTACTACAAATGCTCTGGTGATCTCACAGAAAATCTCTTGCCTTTTTGCTGTACATGTCTACGTAGAAATATGCCCCAACATGCTGAATGATGCTTGCTTCTAGGCAAATATGTATAGCACTAGAGCAGTGGTTCCCAACCTTTGGTCCTCCAGGTGTTTTGGAGTTCAAATCCCAGAAATCCCAGCCAGCTTACCAGCTTTTAGGAATTGTGGGAAAATACTTAGAGGACCAAAGGTTGGGAACCACTGCACAAGAGAGAGAGAGCTATTGCATATTGGCTTGAGTAAAGTACTATGACTCTGGAGACTGTTTGAATCCCTGCTCAGCCACTGAAATACTGTGTGAAGTTCAGTAAGTCACATTCTTTCAGCCTTAGAAGGAACAAACACAATGTTCTCTTATAACAAATTTTGCCGAGAAAACCCAGCAATAGGATTTGCCTTCAGGTCACCAGAAATCAGAAACAACTTGAAGATACATGATAATATTTATAGCACAGCAACCCTGAACGATGTATCCTTACAAAATTCAAAATGTGCATTTACCACATTGTGGGAAAGAACAGAAATACAAATTCTACGAAGTCTGATATGGCTCTAAAAATAAACAAAACTTTACATGACGGGGTTGAGGAAGACTTTGCTTTCTGTGGTATAGAAAAATACATCTTGGATTATAATTCTTAAATTCAGGATGTAGTCAAAAAGTAACATTTCCAAGCTCTGACAAATATCCAGACTACTGGGTTGCAGAAATCAGTTATGAAATCCTAAACTCTTTAGTCTGGCTATGAAACTCACCTGTTACTTGAGGGCTTGTCTTTGTTTAGATGTTCCCTAGTTTCCTCAGAGGCAATGGTAAGTTCAGTTCCAGGTTCTGAATCTTCATCAAGGTTTTCTCTTTGATCTGTCTCTATTTGAATTAAAGGCACTTCCCTTAGGTATGCGGAACAGCTTGGATGGTTTGTAGGAAAAGAGCCAGGAGATGCAGTGTGTTCCTTTTTCACATCTAAATCTATTTTATCACCTATTGATTTACTGATATTTTGCACCCCTAGTGGAATATGGCTGCTTTCTGTCGCATGATCTCTCTCCGTAGAATCTTGGTGGATGGAAATTAATGTTTTCCCACTTTCGACTATATTTGCGGCTAACCTATTTGCATATTGCTGGACTTGTGGTGGGGAGTTGTGAGGATGCTGGTCAAGTTCAGGAACCTCTCCATCATCGACTATTATTTTGTTTTTGCACATTAGAGCTTTAATGGAGTTTGACCATGTCTCATGGATCAGCATGTCAGTTACCTGATCAGTCCGACATCTTTGGTACAAGTAAGAGTCTGATTTACAAAGTCCTGAAGCGGACACTGTGCTGATTGGCTGCACACTTAAAGAATCCTGGTGGCCATTGCGAGAAAAGCCATCTAATGAATTTGCTTTGATGGGCGCATTTACTGTTAGTCTTGATGCTGAGGATCTGCTATCAGGCATTGAAGACTGCCTAAAACAAAAGGGTGATCGTTGAGAAGGAGGCAATAAATTGCTATTCCAGTCTTTTGAGTTTCTAGTCACATTCTCTTTATTTTCTTTTTCAATTTCCTTTAGCATGTATCTATAAAACTCATCTGTAATGCTTTCCGTGCTGGACTGTTTGGATGGACAACCTGACCTAACATTGAGGTGCCCATTTTTTTTGGTGACTTGTTGCAGTGCAGATGTCAAGATGTTGTTTGCATTCTTCCCAGCATAGTAGTCAAGTAATAAATCAAACTCTCGGCCTTCATTTTCCATCTGATTGACCATAAACCTTGAAAACTCATCTGTAATGCTTTCACAGCTGGACTGCTTTGAGACAGAACTAGTCCTGCTCATTGGCTGTCCTAAAGTGTTCATGAGACCTAAAGTATTTGCAGGCCCTTTGGAATCTGAGTCCTCCTCAGGAATGCTCTCACAGCTGGATGCATTGACTCTGCTCCATCTGTCACAGTGTAGTCTATTTCGAGGATGGTTCGGACTCTGCCAGACATTATCAGCCACAGAGAGTTCAGCTAAATTCATAATTTTAGCAGCCACTTCACTAGCAAAGCTATTGCTGGAATCTAGTATATCATCAAGGTTAATGGATTCATCCACAACCCTATTCATAAGCCTTTCTTTAAGCTCGGGGTGCTCATCTGTTTTTCTCTTGATCTCACTAAGCCTAGGTGGCCGATGTTTTCTCACAACTGGTGTCTCCTTCTTCCTTTTAACGGGCCGGCATGCCAAAGCCTGGGGCATGAAATAGTCATCTCCTCTCTTCCATGAACAGAACCAGGGTTGCTTGCCATTTGAATTGTCAAGACAAATGGCAGCTATTTCTGTTGCCATAGATACCACCGTCTCTGCCAATTCCTCTGCAAAATCTGCTAGGCAGTATTTGTCTGGTGGGTGCTTCATGTGTAGCAGAGGTTGGGGAGGTGGAAAACTTGGATTGCCCAATAACGACAGAGTGAGTTGGGTTTCATTGTGCCATCCTACATCACATTTATGATTTTCCTGATTTTCTCTACTGACTTTCCCATTGGAAGACTGAAGTTCTTGAAGGCCATATTTGCATTCACTTGCTGCTGTTGTAGAGTCTTTGCCAGTAAATGACTGGAGTTTTTTCTTAGTTTGATCGATGCTATTGGGATCTGTGGGTTTGTAACACTCTCTCATGTTTCTTTTGAGATATTTTTTCTTGGGAGAGCTTTTTCCAGAGGATGAACTACGTGCATTGGCCCCGGTTGGCACATCTGCATGAAGTGCAGCAGACTCAAGGGTGTGTGGTTCAGCTTCCCCTTTGGCATCTTTCACCAAAGTTCTTGCAGACGCAACCTCTTTTCCATGATTAGAGCCAGAGATGGTATTAGAAAGCTTATTGCTGGAGCAGTTTGGAGGGTGCTCTGACAGATCATTTGTTGTCTCTTTTGATTGGTTCTCCATTACCCGAGCACTAAGGCTATCTTCAGGAAGAGTACTCGAACACCCACTAAGCTGTGCAACATCACTCACTTTCTTATAAGTGAAGTATAGCACATTAAAAAGTAGATTATTAACAGTTGAAATAAAGACATCCTGGGTATGAAGGTCTATGTTTCTGTCTGAACATACATTTAACTGCTTTTTCCTGACTTCTTCCACTGAGTGTGTAAGAATAACATTGGACAAATTTTGGGCGAGATCATCAATAACAATTTCATTTAAATGGGAAACTGAGGGCTTTGTCGCAGCCTGAACAATTTTCTCATTCATAGACTCCATAAAGTCTCCTACATTCCTGTAAGTTTCAGGTTTCATTAACACTACAGATGCCTCTTTGAATAGCATTTGTGCAATGTTATAGTTCAGGTTTTCCATACTGCTCCCTATCGCTATACTGTAACGAAGAGTAATAGCAGCTGATGTCTCAGCTGCAGACAAAAGTCCTCCTGAAGTTACAGGGTACTTGTCATCTTTCTTTTCCTCAAGGCCACAAACAGCAACAGCACTTGCAACTTGAGTCATGCCACACAGAGCAGATGGAAATGAATAATCCACAGGTGTGCAGTGATTCGCACTTTGGGAAGATAACTCCTCAGACTCTTCATTATCAACCAGATTAGTTGGCGTGCTTATGGATTCCTGTTCCCTTTTGAGCTGTTCTGTGACATGAGGACTTGAAATGGTACCAATGACTGTTGCAGCACAAGCCAAAGCTACTTCTAAAGCACTCTGAGTTCCCCCACTGGAGCTCTTGCCTTGCAAATGATCGATGACTTCACTGGAATGTTCACCTTCAGACCAAGGACACATACCTGGTAAATTGGACCCAGGCCACTCAAGGTTATTATCAGAACCATCAGGACTCTGCACTATAACAATTTTGGGGAGTTCACTCCATGATTGGGGGCTCATGATATTCTGTGTTGCATATGGAGGTGAAGTTACGGAACTACCAACTGAGATGCTGATAGCAGCCTCTGTAGGGAAAGCAGACTGAGACAATCTGATGAATGCATCTTGCAGGACAGATTCTGCCAGATTTGTAGCAAACTGACCTGCAGTAGCTTGTTCATTTGGAATGAAAACATGGGATGTTCTTTCAGTTCTACAGTCTGGTGTGTCTGAATGAGTGTTTTGCGATGCTGTTGCATCATCCAAAGAAATCCCTTCTTCCTTGGCCATTATGGTCAAAGTAACATCTTCTGATAAATCAGAAAAGTCATCCAGGCAATCTGTATTAGAAAATGGCTTGGATTTTCCAGTTTGATCAACTTTCCAGTGAAGCTGCTTAATGGCTTTATCTACAGTTTTGGAAATATCAGTTTCACCCTCGCCATTGCATTCTTCTTCAGAGGAGCTTGAAGTCCTAGCAGAAGTTGTGTGGCTAACTTTGTTAAGACGATTTGCTTCCAGGGCAAATGGCAATGTGGCCTTTTGGCAATGTAGATGTTCAAATTCTTTCCCTCTATATGTTTTGGGCTCTATGACAGGTTCCGTAATACTTAGATGATCGTGGACTGGAAAAAGAAAAACAATGAGGTACTATTTAGAAAACAATGCCTTATTTCTTGAATAGTGCAAGTAACAACTCATCATAACTGGGAGTGTGCTATCATCATGTATAATAATCACATATCAAGGCCCCGGTAGCATAGCAGGTTAAACCGCTGAGTTGCTGAACTTGCTGACTGAAAGATCGGCAGTTCGAATCTAAGGAGCAGGGTGAGCTCCCGCTGTTAGACCCAACTTTAGCCAACCTAGCAGTTTGAAAACATGCAAATGTGAGTAGATCAATAGGTACCACTTCTGTGGGAAGGTAACAGCACTACATGCAGTCATGCCAGCCACATGACCTTGGAGGTGTCTACAAACAATGGCGGCTCTTCAGCTTAGAAATGGAGATGAGTACCTCCCCCCAGAGTCGGACATGACTAGACTTAATGTCAAGGGAAAACTTTACCTTTACTTATCTATTCCATGAGTAGCTATATTTAAGGCATGAAGGATGTTTACCCTCCCCTTATTATATTGCTTTTAAGCTACAATAAAAAGGTCAATGCTCTCATTAACATCAAAGGTAATTTACAGGAGTGTTATCCCCTATGGATTTGGTATGAATAGACAAATTTACAAGAAGTCACCTAGATTTTACCATTTTCATATTCACCAGGCTCATTCTCATCTTCAAAGTGCTCAGATGCAGTGAGAAAATCTTCCTCTATTGAGGACACTGAACAATTAGTGTCATCCTCAGGCTTTAAGATACCAGCCTCTATGTGCAGCTGCTTCTCCTGCACAAGCTCCAGCCCAATCAGAAACTTGTTTATTTCAAAGATGATGCAGCTTGTGCTGTTCTTTCTGTTTCCTCTTGCGCACTGAACCAGACAGACATCTGCCAGCCAAGAACACTAGAGAGAGGAGAAATCACCCAAACAGTTATGCAATTAACGAGAAAATGAAGACTTTTCAAGTCAAAATCTTTTAATCTCTCCCATATATTTGCAGCAATAAATGCTGTTTGTAAAATATTCCAAATTTATGTTGTGCTTATTATGCTTTAAGGCAACAATTCTAAACCCATTTATTGGGAAGGAAGCCTCGCTGAACTCACAGAATTTACTTATGTGCAAACTTGCACAGGACTGCAAGGCACATAATAATAGCAGAGTGTCAGCAGCAACATTTTCAACCTGTACTCTTTGGCTGTCATGATCACTGGTTCTTGGTTTTTGTGTGTATAGAAAGGATATCAACAATTGTGGTCATTGGTTAAAAAACCCTTCCAACACCCAATGACTCTTGGAGTCCTTGGCAAAATTCTCATCTCTCCAGTATCACAGAAGTATGAAGGTGTATTTAAACTGTAGAATTAATGTAATTTGATACCACTTTGACTGCCATGGCTCAATGCTATGGAATTGTGGGAGTTCTAGTTTTACAAGTTTTTTTTAGCCCAATCTGCTAATGAATGGTGGTGCTTCCACCAAACTACAACACCCAGTATTCTATAGCATCGAACCGCGGATTCTATAGCACCATCAGTGGTGTCGAACTGCATTAATTTTATAGTGTAGATGCAACCACCTCGGGGTGAGAAAAGCGGTATACAAATTCTGTAAATAATAAACCCAAGACGGTGAGTCAAGGCTTGCTCTCAATGGTCCTGGGATGGAGATGGGTGGGTGGTGCAGCCCATTCTTAACATGCTATAATCCCTGCGCATCCTGTGGCTGAGCTACCATGACTGGTGAAAGAGGACTTTTCATTTTGTGAGAAGAGTTCCAGTAAGGAATTTCTATATATATTTCAGATTTCAATATTAATGTAAAAAATACATAGTATGATTTTACATAGGATTTGTGCTACATTAGAACAGTAAAGACAAATATCACTTAAGTAAAATAAAAATTAAATATTAAACAATCAGAAAAATAAAATAAGGTGTAAACACTAAATTAATCTGGGAATCTGCTATTGCAACACATCCATACTCTTCACATGAGAACAGTACTCACTGCTGGGTTGCTGTGAGTTTTCCAGGCTGTATGGCCATGTTCCAGAAGCCTGGCACAGATTTGGGTGAAACGTCAGGAGATAATGCTTCTGGAACATGGCCATACAGCCTGGAAAACTCACAGCAACCCAGTGATTCTGGTCATGAAAGCCTTCGACAACACTATTCTCATTGCATTCTACTGACAAAATATATTTTTATATCATTCCTTTTCCTATGAAAGAAGTCTCAATGTATGAAGGCAATAGCATCCTATGCTTTAACAACAGCTGAAATGAATAAGGCTGGTTAAGGGGAACATATTGCAGCACAATTTTTGGCATCTTTAGTTAAAAATAATCCCCACTATGCTGAATGGTACTTACTCCATGGGGGACAAATACAAGCTTGCAGTTTAAAAATCGTACACATTTTTACTCAAAAACCAGGGTCACTATGCATACAATTTCAGCCCATATGTACTTTTCAGCTTGGTTTGGATACAATATGTTTCTGAATATATGGATGTGGGTGTATCAATGTTTATCCTAGTACAGAAGGCTGTGGATGAAGTAATTAATACAGTTAATATTTTTAGATAAACATACTATAGCAACCAATATGTATATACCCTAAAATAAAGCTGTTCTTACAGTGCAATCATAAAAATGCCTACTCAGAGGTGAATCATATTGAATTCATTGGGACTGACTCCAGGGTCAGTGTGTATATGATTTTCAGCACCACTCTCCACCAGCAAAGTAGAATCCAACCCTTTCTACCTTCTGTTTTGTTTTTTGTTTTTGTTTTTTAAAAAAACAAAGCATGAAAAACCTATAGGAGAGTTGAAGATAAATATAAAGTTTCTACCTGGGGTACTTCAAAATCACTCTGAGGATTCCCTGATGTTAACCCACTCAGCAGGATGATTTCATTCTCTTTTGGTGGCTGTACATTCATAGAGCTGATAAGCTTTGGGAGATTTGGGGAGATGCCGACCAACTTCTGCAATAAATAAAAGACTATCACAAGGTATCCTATACTTTTCACCAGTCATGCTATCAGACATAAAGTCAAAGTCACTCCTGACACACCCTCAACATTTATTTGGCTGCAAATTCCATAGGAATGGGCACAGGTTGGTTTGAACATGTAAGTTTTATATGACAAAAATGACAATTTTGGACTTTCCCTGGTGAGACATGCTCTTTGGTGGGTAGGTCATCTAAAAGTGCAAGGCAGAAGAAAGTAATGCTTCCCAGAAGTTATTTTGGCAAGGCAGGTAAATGCCTAAGCAGTTCGAAAACAGGTGAGCTGTGAGTAGAGAAATTAGGGACCACTTAAAGTGGGGAGGTTAATTTATGACAGCATAAAAATGCCAGAGATCAAAGAGGTGGAAATACTACAATCAAAGGCTTGACGTCATAGTGGATGAAGCAACAGCTCCCCGTGGACAGAATCGAGCAACCTCCGAGAACTTGAGTTGAAAAAAATGCTGAATTACCGTTATCTGTCTGTATGTCTAAAAACAGCATTGAATGTTTGCCATGTATGTGTGCATTGTGATCTGCCCTGAGTCCCCCTCGGGATGAGAAGGGCAGAATATAAATACCGTAAATAAATAAATAAATAAATAAATAAATAAATAAATAAATAGTGTTGTGCTCTAGCTTCAGGAAAAAGCCCCCTGACTTCAAAACACACCACACATCCATACATAACTCATCCATAAGTTCCCCTGTGAAAGGGAATGGACACTGTCTAATGTACAAAATCCATATTCAGTTCAAGATCATGCTAGCAGAACTGTAATAATAATAATAATAATAATAATAATAATAATAATAATAATAATAATAAACCCAACTTTATTTTTATACCCCACCTCTATCTCCCCTAAGGGACTCCGGGCGGCTTATAAAGAGACAAGCCCAAGAAGCAAAAAGTTAAAAACATAACACAATAAGATAGCATCAAAACAAAACCAAATAAAAACATTTCACAATAAAACATAACATCAAAAAACAGTACCATACAGAACGATAAAAGTGCTGAGTTCAGAGGGCTCTGGGTTTGTGCAGAAACACATTTTGTATTTGTCTGGCCCTGCTGAATTTGACAGGAGTGTTCTTTTTATTGCACATTCATTTCTGCAATGTTGCTGTCTTGTGCAAAGGCTGAGCAGCACAATCAATACATAGCTCTAAACACACAGGTAACTGGTAGTCTAAAAATGCAAACATCCATTTCATTAATGCAACAGGGGAAACTCTGTAAAGTTAGAGAACTTTGGTGTAACCTAGTTGCAGTTTTAGTTTCTGGAAGCTGGCAATTTCAGGCATATACATGTGAATGTTACAGATTCCTCAAAGAGGCCAAATAGTATTCTAGTTCTACTTGGACAGAAGTGGGAGATAAGTGCAGAATTGGTAGCGCTATTTTATTTATCGTGTCAGTATCAACCAGACAATTGTATTACATTTTTAACAAATTTTTAACAAACAGACAAAACAGAGTTTGCAAGCTTGGTAGTTGATTAAATGTCCTTTGACCAGTAGCTGGCCACTTGGAGTGCCCCTGGTAAGGCTAAGAAAATAGGACATAGCAAATTGAGTGAAAATGTAAGTGGAATATCAATGAGTTGTCGAAGGAATATTGCTATTTGTTCTATTTAACCTTGCAGAATTGTTGTTGAGATTTGTATAATTCTACTTCTCTTTCCAAAAGTAATAAAAATTGTTAGAAATAGCATTCTAGTTCCACCTGCCAAGATATATGGTGCCTTTCTCTGGCCTTATTTCTTTACTGATTGGAAATGTAGGGACTGGGGTGAAATGTTGCTTGAGCTACTGGTAAATGTGAATTAGTTACAGAAAACATAAACTGTCATGGCTAAATACTACTGGATTTGAACTAGACTGAACTAGAAGGATGGAACTGTTTTCTTCTATCTGTGAATCTATTGGCAAATTCACATTTGCTAGATGAATCCATGGGAGTTTCCTGAAATTCCAGTGGACCTGCAGCTAAACCATACTCATGAGGAGGTAGTGTTTGTGTGAACCAATCCTTCCTTATAGAGGCTAGATATATGGCGGGTGCAATTTCTGTTATCAAAATGGTGATTTCTCTCCTAATTTCCATAGGTCTGGGAAGTGGTTCAAACACCTAGTCATTCTTCTGCTTTCTTTTATGTATGTGGAAATATTTATGTAATGTGCACAATGTGTGAGCATTTGAGGAGCACTTGCCTGTTTCATGAGTTCATTGTCACAATCATCTTTGTGTGCATCCAGATTCACAAAGCAAACCTGCAGAGAAAGAAAAAGGAAGGTAAGAAAAGGATGGGTAGATTTTGAATGGGCCTTGGGACATATCTCCAAAATATTTGGAGGTAAAGATAGGCACATTTTTTCTTCATTCTTCATGATAGCTTCTGACATAAAAGTAAAAAAATTGTAAGTGAAACTGTTAAGTGGTCAACACCTCCTAACTGCTCCCAAGAAATAAAGAAATTATTACATTCAGAACTCTGAAAAGTGAAATTTGTTGATCAGACATCCAAGAGTCTTCCAGCTGCAAGGCTAGCGCTGTTTATATTGGATGATTTCAGAATCTAAATCCAATGTTACTCCCACTTTTAGTACATCTATTAAAATTATAGGGATGTACATCAGTATTGGCCCAGTGCCCCACTATTACACTTTCATCTTTACTAATAAAAAAAGTAAACAACTTCTTCTAAAGCTTTTGCATTTCTTGTTTGCACTTTCCCAACTCCCAGTCCTACTAAATAAAAAGAATCAAGAAAACAAAGGAAAATAAAAAAAGATTCAATGCTAGAGAGAGGCCAAGTCTAGCCAAGCCAAAAAATAAAGCTGAGAGCAAGCAGCAAGGTAATCAGACTGAAGTACTTCTCTAGGGCCAGGATGCAACTGAGAGCAATGGAAGCACTTGCCCCATTAAACAGACACAGCTTGTGTAAGACATGTCATGGCGTTCTATTTTGATTGGCCCAACAGGCAGGGCTCACCTATGACGGATCTTACACATTTTATATAAAGTGATATACCATAGATTTCTTCTCTGTTGGATGTATTTGAAAGATTATATTTGCTTAGATTTATTATCTGTTTATTTTGGCAAGCAGGATGAATTATGTCAAAGTCCGAGGTAATGAGCAAAGCTAACCAATCATTTTTCAAGTGGAGAATTTAAGAAATATGTCTCAACTACAGTACAAAATTTAGGCAAACTGTATTTACCTATTACTTATTCTACAGTGTGCCAAAGTTGAAGAAACTGGGGAAAAATTGGGCGATGAGTGGCAGATTCAGCCAACAAGCCCTCGTGTCAGCCAAAATTTATGGACACCAAAGAGATACCCCCATTGTTGGCATCGTATGAAGAAATATAGTAGCACCAAAAGACTTAACAGCATTTGCGGAACCTTAAATAAGAAATTCTGAGTAAATAGCCACCTGGTATCTCTAGGTGGCTAGAAATCTTCCAGCAGCTTCTGGGAATTCTGATTATACAATCTGAAGAGAAGCCAGAGTATAGTTCTGATTATATGCAATCATTCTATCTGCCTTGTAATGTGTGTGATCTTTGATGATATAAAGAAGGAATGAGTGGTCATAGGACAAAAACGTGCATGTTTTGTTCACAAAACAGCAGTGGCATAACCCAACTTGTGTATTGAGCTTTACATTAACTTAGTTCTGCCTTTCTTGGCATTCGGCACTTCCAGGCATAGAGCATAGTTCTGCTTGGCTGTCACGGACAATAGAATGCAGAAGAGAGAGACAAATTCAGTTCTTCCAGGGACAAAATCTTTTTTCTAACTTCTTATCTCATTTATTTATTTATTTATTTTTACATAATATCCTGACCAAAAATAGCATGACATTCTCTTCAAGCCATATATATGTCAGTCGGATTGTTCATGTCACTACAGTCATGCTGGTTAATGCTAGGCTAACTGTTAAGAAGCATTTGCTCTTAAAAAGATAAATGTCAAAGCCTTAATGTTATAAAGTAATAAAACAGCTCTGAAGTGTTCTAAGTCTGCAAGTAAGTACATTGCCCATAGAGATAATCTTTAATGGGCTTTTAAAAAGCCCATTCGTTAGTACTGCTTTTTCCTTGAAAATATATACGCATGTTAAGAACATTAAGAAATACACTGCTATAAAATGTTGCCTAACCAAATCGATTTCATTAAATAATAAAACTTCTGGCGCTATATTACAAAAAATTTAGCTGCCCCGAATTCAATGTTTTCTCAATAAGAAAGGATAGATACTAAAATAAATAAATAAGTGGTCTGTATGTGTCTCTGTTTGACACCACTTTAACTACCATGGCTCAATGCTATGAAATCATGAGAGTTGTAGTTTTATAAGGCCTTAGGCTTCTTTGCCAAAAAGTGCCAGTGTCTCACTATAACTCCCATGATTCCATACCTTTGAGCCATTAAAGTGATGTCAAACTGCATTAATTCTAAATTGTAGATTCACCTACCTCTCTAAAAAAAGTTGTGCCTGGGATGGATACATGTGTGCAGATTACACGTTCAAGGGTTTCTGTTAGTTACGAGAATCCCATTGCCTTTCCAACATAGTTATTAACATTAACTTTTATCCCTGGCCTGTATCAAACTCTGAAATCTATTAATTAATAAATTATTTAGTTTAGATCAAATAAACAGGTTTGCTAATTTGGTTCTATTTGCATAGCCATATCAGCAGATTGCCCCTATTTGAAAAAAAAATCTTGGGAACTTAAGATATTATTGTTATGATTATATAATCACAACATAATATCTGAAGATCTAGAGCTATTAGGCCTGGAACACTTTAGTGCTAAATGAAAATACTGTTCTTTAAAAACTGTTCTCTAAAATTCAACACTGTTTTCATAGACATTGAGGGATGACTGCAAAATTATCAACAGCTCTTCCTCACACACAAGCAAATACACACTCATTTATGAACCCAAATTTCTGCCTTCTGCGCCTACACTACTATGCATGATTAGTGCCAGGTTGCTTCCCCTTGCATCCTATGAATTAAATAGTGTGTTTGTCAAGTCATACTCCAATCTCAAATAGAATTAAATTAAATTAATTTAGATCTACGTTGGAGAGAATATCAGAGATTTTACATTCTGAAGGGAAAAAGAAGAAAAGTAAGAATATTTTCCCCACAGTCACATAACCAAATGCTGAGCCACTCAAAACCTCCTCGAGCAATTTTGGCATCTGGATACACATCATTTTTAGAGCTGGGGTCAGCTGAAATCTGGAAATGAAAATACTATTTTTTGCTATGTTTCTTTGGGGAGAAGCAAAATGCAACCCTGAGTCATTAAGAGGTAGGTAAATGGTCAAATGTTAAAGAATGCTCAAACTTTCATACTGTGGCACTTATTTTTCATGCCAGCAAGGTAATGTTCAAGATCCTGCAAGGAAGAGTCCAGCAATACATGGAGAGAAAATTGCCAGATGTACAAGCTGGGTTTAGAAAAGGCAGAGGAACAAGAGACCAAATTGCCAATACCCGCTGGATAATGGAGAAAGGCAGGGAGTTTCAGAAAAACATCTATTTCTGTTTTATTGACTATTCTAAAGCTATTGACTGTGTGGATCATAATAAACTGTGGCAAGTTCTTAGTGGTATAGGGATATCAAGCCACCTTGTCTGTCTTCCTGAGGAATCCGTATAACGACTAAGTAGCAAGTGTAAGAACATACCACGGAACAACCAACTGATTCAAGATTGGGAAAGGAGTACAGCAGGAAAGTATACTCTCACCCGACCTATTCAACTTGTATGCAGAACACATCATGTGATGTGCGGGGCTTGAAGAATCTAAGGCTGGAGCTAAAATTTCTGGATGAAACATTAACAACCTTAGATATGCAGAAGATACCACTTTGATGGCTGAAAGCGAGGAGATGAGGAGCCTTCTAACCAAGGTGAAAGAAGAAAGTGCAAAAGCTGTAGTTAAACATAAAAAACCCAAGATTATGGCAACCAGACTGATTGATAACTGGGAAATAGAGGGATAAAACATGGAGGCAGTGACTGACTGCATTTCTAGCTGCAAAGATCACTGCAGACACAGACTGCACCCAGGAAATCAGAAGACACTTACTTCTCGGGAGGAGAGCAATGGCCAATCTCAATAAATTAGTGAAGAGTAGAAACATCACACTGGCAACGAAGATCTACATAGTTAAAGCAATGGTATTCCCTGTAGTAACCTATGGATGTGAGAGGTGAACCATAAGGAAGGCTGAGTGAAGGAAGACAGACGCTTTTAAACTATGATGCTGGAGGGAAATTCTGAGAGTGTCTTGGACCACAAGAAGATCAAACCAGTCCATCCTCCAGGAAATAAAGCCCAATTGCTCACTGGAGGGAAGGATATTAGAGGCAAAGATGAAGTACTTTGGCTACATAATAAGAACACAGGAAAGCTTTGAGAAGACAATGATGCTGGGGAAAATGGAAAGAAAAAGGAAGAGGGGCCGACCATGGGCAAGATGGATGGATTGTATCCTTGAAGTGACTGGCTTGACTTTGAAGGAGCTGGGGGTGGCCACGGCCGACAGGGAGCTCTGGCATGGGCTGGTTCATGAGGTCACGAAGAGTCGTAAGTGACTGAACGAATAAACAAAAAAATATGGCCAAAATGTCTCATAATTATTTCCACCATTTCATTCCTCAAAGTGAAGCTCCATTTCTTACTTCTGATGCCTCTTAGGAATAATGCAAAACAGTCTCTTCAGCAAAATATTATAATCCAGCCATCTGCTCTCCCTGCCTATTGAAGAACACCAATTGTTCTGGTGGATGTCAAAGTGCTGAGCCATAAACCTGTCAAGTAAAATAAACTGCACCAATAATTTGCTCAAATCCATGCTGGGAGTTAGGGAGAGAGCAGGTGTGCAGGCACTGTGCCCTCCGATTGATCTTGGCTTTGGATGGTGCTGAAGACAGCCCGCGCCATATTGCCAGAAGTATCTCATGCCCCCAACTCTCGATCCCCCCCTGAGTTCTCTGGCAGGAATTTGTCCTCACTAGTTTTCAAGTGCACACAGGGACACTCTCTTACCATGTGCTTTGGTGCATGCGGTTTGAGAATATTCTAATTTAAACAGAATCAGATCCACCCCACGGTAGTAAGATGGGAACCTGATGCAATGTATTTTGGGTGCCAAAAAAGAGAGAGCAAATTCTTAAGTTACTTACTACCTTATGGCTGTATTTTTAAGGATAGGGATGAGGGAGGAATGTGTATG